GGGTCTCGTCTAGCGAGGCGGAGGCCGCACGCACGTTGGCGACTCTCCCAGCATCGCTTGGCGGTTTAGGCCTGGCTAGTGCGGTGCGTGCCGCGCCTGCTGCGTATTGGGCGGCATGGGCTGATGCGCTCCCTGTCCTCGGCGAGCGCGCCCCGGTTTTAGCCGAGGCATGCGTCCGCCAATTGGAAGCAGAGGAAACAGAGGCAGCGTGCCTACGCAGCGCAGCGGTGGCACGCAGCGTCCTTCGAGCTGAAGGCTGGCAGGAGTGTCCTTTCTGGCGAGCGATTGCGGATGGTGCTCGCCCTCCGCCAGTGACAGCCAGAGGCCTGGGCGATTGGCCGCACGGCTGGCAGCACAGTGCGTCGCGAACTCGCAACCTTCACTTCCGTGACCGCACGTTGCTCCCAGCCTGGCCACCAAGCGCCTGCGCACTCTTGCGTTCCCAAGCAGGCCCGCACGCAGGTGCCTGGTTAACAGCCATACCGGCGGACCCAGCCACTACACTGCCGCCGCAAGCCATGCAGCTCGTTTTGCGCCGCCGTTTGCGCCTCCCACTGCCCCTTCGCGCGAGTCACTGCGGCCCCTCTCCCGGATGTGGCGGGCTCGTCGATGTGTACGGTGATCATGCCCTGGCCTGCCCGCGCACTGGGCTGCTTGCTAGACGAGCAAAAGTCGTCGAACGGGCCTGGGTGAGGGTGGCGCGCGAAGCTGTCGGGGCGGACGGCCAAGTAGTCCCGCAGCAATGGCTCTGCAACACGACTGCTCCGGGCGTCGCCCCGGACGACAGGCGCCGCCTTGATCTGGTGATCTATGGAGCGACGCCCATGGGAGGAGCACTGTGCTGCGACGCGACCCTCGTGTCGCCGCTGACTCGAACGGGCCAGCCGCAACCCGGTACCGCGGCGCATGACGGCGCCATGCTGCGAGTTGCTGAGCGGCGCAAACGAGCCACCTACCCAGAGCTCAGCGCTGGCGGCCCGCAGCAACTCGTCGTGCTTGGCTCCGAAGTTCGGGGGCGCTGGAGCGAAGCAACGCAGCGGCTTGTTCGAGACTTGGTGCGCGTCCGAGCCCAACGGGCACCACCGGCGCTGCGAGCCGCTGCCGCCTCCGCCTGGACGTGACGGTGGTGGGCGGCTTTAGCCGTCGCGGTGCAGCAAGCCGTAGCCAGCACGGCCCTGGGCAGCCCGTGGCCCGCCCCGCCACACGCAAGCCAGTGGCAGGGCCCGGAACTGGACTGTGTGCTCGACCTCGCCGAAGCGGCGGGGCCGAGCCGGTTGCCACTGCGCTAGTTGGCCGTAGCAGGGTAGCCTACTGTAGTTTCGGCGGACAGGTAGATGGACCCTCGGGAGCCGTGCAGGCGTAAAAGTCCGAGGAAAAAAAAATTGCTATCATTACTATAATTGCTATTAGTACGATTAGTGCTATTATTACTATTAGTACTATTATAGCCATTATTACTTTAATTATCATTATTACGATATTTATTACTATTGCTATTATGACTAGTATATTTATTATACCCATTGTAACTATTATAACTATCATAAGTATATTCTGAGTATTATTACATTATTATTGCTTTTGGTACAACTATGACGATCATTACGATTATTACTAAATGTTTGCTATTGCCATTGCTGCCGCCACAATATCTGCGGCTCTCTGCTATTATTCTGGTGCTATTATAGGAAACACTACCACTATTGCCGCGGCCAAACTGCTCCTGCTGCCGCGGTCGCGGCTATTGGTATCATTGCGGCAGCGACAAGTCTGACGACGACGAGTGCTACCAGTGCGACTGCTGGTTACAACCAGCGCCACGACGACTATACGACCATTATCGGAAAAAAAAAAACTTCTGCGACATTTGCGGGTTCATTATTTCAATTCAACGACAATTTATACCACCATCCATCCATCGACCACCTGTTGCTGGCAGTAGGTCACGACCATTTCATGTATTCGTACTGTGTCTTCAACTGACCCTAATTCTTTCGTGTGCCACAAGCACTTTCCTTATTGGTGGTGCCAGGGTTGTGCGTGTTTGTGTCTTTTCAAACTTGTACTGTATACTGGTACAACTTCTTCCACTGCAGCTGCTACCGCCAAGAAAAACGCGAGTTTGCCACTTTCTGCGAGGCTGGCAACATCGTGCTGAAGGCAGCACGAAAAGCGCGTTTGCGTTGAATCTTTCTCACATTGATGCCGCATCTCGTCAGGCCACACGCTGCGCGCTCCTTCACAGTCATGTCAACCTGAGCTGAGTGAATGGTTTCATCACCACTCGTCCGCGTTTTGACGGCTCCGTTTGCCGCTGCTAAGTGCACCGCACAAGTGCGCCTGCCGCGGCGCTTTAACTCGGAATCCCTATGTGCTGCTTGCCAGGTGAAATTGACTTCCAGCTAGATGTTCTTACGAGATCTTACGAGCTTGTGTGCGCTATCTCCATGTGCACACCCGCGCGTAACGACGTTGCACAAGGTGAAGACGATTTATGTCTGCGTGTCTGTGCCAAACAATGTGACCGAGAGTGGTTTGGATGAGCCGGACATATATTTCATAGAACCATGTGATCTAGTTATTAGATCACATGGTTTTATGAAATAGAATGTAGTAGTTCCGAAACGGACGAACACCCGTTCGAAACACACATCCGTGTCAGCACAATACATCCCCCCATTCCCCATGAGAATTTTTTTTTTTCGGACATGTCTCCGGCAGCCCAAGAAGTCCCAAACGTAAAGCCTGCCTGGTCGTACGAGGGCGCTCCTGCCACACACAGCACTAGCGAAGCCCCTGGCGGCTGCCCAACACCGGAAGCTGCCAGCCCACGTCAGCAAGGACCCCGTGCAAATCCGGCGCTTCTCCGGCAACGTTGTGCTCGCCAGCGAGCGGGAGCTCGACGGCGCTCTGCGCGGCTGCCCGGCGGGCATCCGCAGCAAGCGGCAGCCTCTGCGCCAAACCGGCCCCGACACCGACGACCACCAAGCGGCAGCGGCTCAGGGTCGGGCAGGTCTGGTGGCGTTTGCGTCGGGCGGCGCCATCGACAGCTCGACTGGGGTAGCACGTCTGCTCCAGGTTGGGCCTCACCCGCCCGCGTCACGCGGGCCACGGGGTTGACGTTGGCGGCATCAACCGCGTGCTGCGCGCATCTGCGCGCCGTCCCACAAACACAGAACTTTTGCAACAACTTCGATGCGGCGGTGATCCGATACCGGAACATCCATGTTCATGTCGGGCGACTCGCGCCCCAGCTTCTTGGCACACCCTCACCACCGAGCACATGCAGCTAAGTGCACATGCTTGGGATCCAGTGGTGCCGGCGCCTTCCATGATCCTTCGGATATGAGCACGACATAGCACCTCAAAAGCTGTCGCAACTCGCGCATAGGTTTGCGCCGTGCGTTTGCCGTTGTTATTGCTGCTGCTGCTGCTGCTGCTGCTGTTCCGTTTGCGACCACCGGGAGCATCAGCTGCAGGGTCACGACGAAAAGGATACGACCACCACCCGCAAGGATGGTGTGACAACGAGTAGTTTCCAATGGTATTAAATGAGAACAAGTACTGTCATTGCAGTTGCTCGCTGCGGCGAGACATGTCGGACAGAACTGCATGAAGTCCTCGCCGATTGCCGTGGTGGCTAGCCTTGGCACAGCTGCCCTTTGCGGACTTGTTAGTTGCGACGGCCGTTAGTGTGCAGACGAAAAAAATGCTTTGGTTCGACCATATGGCTTTTCGCACATCTGGGAACAATGTTGCGCAAAGTTCAATTTTGATATGGATTTATTTCATTGCATTTTCAACAGGACGTTCGCGATTCCCTTAATTCGCATGCGATTTCGGCGATCTCAAGGAGCCACCTCTGGCCGGCTGTGCTTGCCGGCGCCCGGCCTCGCCCTACAGCCCGCAACGAGGCGTAAGCGTCGCGACAGCCTCCTCGCGCGGGCGCGAGCTGGGCATGTGCACGCCGCCGTTCAAGTCGGCTCTGTGTGCGGCAAATATTTGTCTTGTTGGAGCAGCATCATGGCATATCATCGCCGTGTTAACGCAAAGGGCCCTCGCCGGTTTCTTGCTGGAGCTCTCTCTCGACCACCGTCGCCCCTGTTGCCGACCACCGGCTGCGCACGCGGTCCTGCAAGACGAATGCTGGCCGCACACCCCTGCCCCGAGCCGGCTCCTGCAGAGGATCTAGGCTGCCGCCACCACGTGGACTGCAGGTGCACTGGGATCGCGCTCGTACCGGTCGCAACAGAAGAAGTGTGCGTGAAAAGAACAACGTGACCCTGCTTCCGACCTCGGCCCCAAACACGACCTGGAAGCGCACTGGCATTTTTCCGGGTGCAGTTGCGAGATTAATGTTCATACAGCTGCAGAAACAAAGTGTGATGCAAGCCATGCACGTCACACATGCCGGAACCCGTTCGTTTTAGAAGTGTTTCGTGCGTGTTGATCAATAAGTTCCTTCGGCAAATGTGGTCCAGTGCAGTGCAGAAGCAGCTTAGCGTTTGCGAGCATACCCGCCCAGGACACTCCACAGGAGGTTGCACTGGGAACCGGGCTTCTTCAGACCAAACAGGGGACGAAAGCGCTGGAGACCAGTGCCTCGTCAGTGTGTCAAAGTATTTATTAATTTGGGGTTTGGGCACAACATGTACGTGAACGGGTGGATGTGGTCTGTGATTGTTTCGTACGTCATGTTGTGTTGCATGGACTGCAAGGCTGATTTGGGTCTTGCACTAGGAGTCCGGATGACAGGTTCGACAAACATTTTTGATGTCCGTGCATCGCGGGAATTGCTTTCATGCATGCCGCACAGAGCGTTGCATTGTCCACTCGTGTTCGTGAAAGGCGCAAGATGGCGCAAGCCTGGAGACAAACAAAACACCGCCTTGCATGCGACGCTCAAGCCACACAGTTATGCATGAATTGAGCGATTTATCATATTCTTTTTGCCGGTGAATGCCGCTGGCGAAGGTTTCGAGGATAACGTGCTGAAGGTCATGGAAAAGATGGAAGAGGAGAGCCTGATTTCTGAACGTTGCACTTGTCCACCCGGACACAACCTTGCAGAAACAGCGGCGGTCATCTAGGAAACAACAACTTCATCGTTCGTCGGGCCTTGGACTAGACCCCCTAAACTCGACGTTTGACGGGCCAAGTACCTCAGTCAGCAAAGTTGTGCAGGAATTGAAAGAGCTCAAGAACGAAGATGCGGGTCTCAAGGAGGAGCCTGGGCGGTATTAGCTAGTCGTGGTTGAGGCCTAGGCTAGAGCATGCGCAATCTTGCAAATCTTCGTTGCATAGAATCGATGACTCGTTAATTGGTGCAAGATCGGTACCACACAACGGTGATCTGGGACGGGTTTAAGAAAGCGCGCCAACTGTTGGTGCAGGTTTGTTTAGTTTCAACGGATGATTGCCGTGTGCTGAGATCCAGCGACCTGCAGAGTTGTGATCACTGAGTTACATGCTCCGCTCAGCTCCTGGGGTTGCGCATGGGCATGTCGCGCTCAAACCCGCGCGAGGTATTATTACGCAAGTACGTTGTGTGTATACAGGTACTTAGACACACATGACCCAGGAAATCCAATTTAAACCAGCCAAGAACCGAAACAACTCCAAAACCCATTTTGACCTTCGTTGCTCAGGTGTGTTTACTTACGTAACTATCAAATCTGTCGACGTGGGAGTAAACCCTAAACCCTAAACCCTAAACCCTAAACCCTAATCCGGGCCTTCAAAGCCAGGAGTTGGCACGGCTCGAGGGGTCCCAAGGCAACAGCCAGGTGGCCAAGGCCAGCTATCCGATTTTTCTTTGTGTTTTATATTGAAAACGAATTTTTTGTTCTTGCATTTCCAGGGGTGTTCCGGATTTAGGCCGCGGGCTCAGGCTTTTAGGCAGCGAGTGTATCATGAAAGTAACAGGTGTCATGCGAGGGATACGGAAGGCTTACATTTACATGTAGCTTCGGCTGCGGTTGCAGTAAGATGTTGTATTAATGTCTACTCCTTTGTCACGTGAATTCCCGAACATCAAATGTTGCTTGTTTTCAAAGCAATTCATATCCACTCCTCCTAGACCGGTTGCGAACCCGGTGATTTCAGATTCAGCATGCGCTCACCGTTCGGGTTGGTATCCAACTATGACGGAGTCTTGGGCCCTTGGCGCCAGCCCCGTGGCCGTGAGCTTTGTCCCAAAATGTGCAAGTGAAGCCGTCAGGTCATGATAGGGCTTGCAGAAGGATACCCCGTAAACGAACGAGTACTGGAACTCTGAAGCTCTGCAGCATTGAGCAAACCTTGACTTCGTTCAACCCTGGGCTTTCTCCTTGCAAAGGCCGCAGCCTAAACCGCAAGGCTCGACAAAGGTTTCGTTGTTTTTCGCGATCTTAAAGGAAACGCCCCTTCCAACAAAGGTGCCTCCCGGCCGTTTCGACTTACCAGCGATCTTGGCTCAGCACCAGAATGCAAGCGAACTCAGGAGCAGCTGCCGCTCGGAAAGTGCAGTGTTGAGTGCTGGTGGCTGGATGCAGATGGGCATGATTCTCGTAAAGTGTGCGTGGGCGGATGTCGCTGATAATGATGGTGATGGTGATGACGTAACAATGTATTTCGACTACTCGTGGATGCGACTGTTATTGCATTGGTACACTGGCGAGGGTAAATACATTGGTTGGTTTACAAGCATGCTTTCTTTAGCGCCTAATGCACCCTGTCCCTCAGGCCAAGCTTCCGTGGAACTTGACTTGCCTCCTCTAGAGACTTTGGAAAATTAAAAGTAGGCGGAACTCAAATGAGAACGAGTCCTGTAATCGCATGACCTGTCCGGCTTGAATGCTTCGTTTCTTGGAATTGCTCAAAAATTTCTTATCGCCGAACGCTTTTCTAATCAATCCTTTACCCTACATCTTAAAACTTAAAACTCCTTCAAACCAGGTCGCAAACCATCGCCGCAACCTCTTCCGAGTGCGAAAGGGAAGGCAGTGGAGATCCCGAGCTTGCAGCAGAGGAAGACAGAGCAGGCGCAGTTTAGGGTTTATAGTTTATAGGGTTGTTTGGCTTTCACGAGTGCATGCAAGCACGGGCTTTATTTGGCCGAAGGGCGCAGGGTTCTAGGCTGTGGCCTCAGCGTCTGGGTTGAGGATGTTGTGTGTAAGCGTATTCTTTACGTGCCGACAGTGGTCGGATGCTGATTGTGGATTTAGCATGCTGCGCTTATCCAAACAATCCCATGTATTGCTACTCGTATTCCTCGTGTGCCCACCTATTCTGCACTAGTACTTATTCTGCAGTTTGCGCAGGGCTTGGCCAAGTGTGCGAGCGGAAAGGCGCGGCTTTTGCTTCAGGGTTTAGATCGGGTTCCTGAGAAACACAGTATGCATCTTTGACGGAGGGTTTTTTTGCTAAACTTGTGCCTATACGGGAGTGTAGAGTTTAGGAGTTCCGACTTGGTTTTGCCGGGGAAAGGAGGGGGGCTTCAGTATTAGCGCCCTCCAGCCGCGTATCCAAACGACTCCAAACCCTTCTTAGCCTGACCAAACAAGCCTTTCCTTCATATGTCAGGTCACGCTGAGGGATTTCCAGCCAGCCGGGGTAGCTGAGACCTGCTGTTCAACATCGAAAGTGGTTGCTGGTCTTCTTGTCTTTAGCGCTGTGTGGCTAGTGTGGCACGGTGACACGACCACAGGGTGTGAACCTTTCGGGATTATGCGGGCTACATTATTTGGTGGCAGTAGACCAGGCGGTGACAACTGTTCATAGTCAGGTTTAGGGTTTAGGGTTTAATAGTGTGTGTTTGTGCGTGTGAGCCTCAGTCAGTCAGTGCCAAGCCCGGGCAGCCCAAAGTCGGCCAGCAGCCTACATCCACCGGTATGTATGTGGGTAGCCGTTATAATGCTCACCTAATAATGATTGAGGGCACCCAAGAAGGGGCCATAATTTTGACAACTACCCATGTATGTGTGTATGTGTGTATGTACACTTGCATAAGTAGAAAAGGAACAAAAAACAGATATAGCTTTCCGGACGCTTTCGTATGTTTGCTCAGTGGTTTGGGTAATTGGCATTGGTACAATTCCCTGTGTCCTTGTCTCGATCTGGGGTGTGCTTAGTGTTTCTGTACTCGACGAAAGTAATTTTCTGCATGGCTCCTTTCTATTTGTGCGTTGTTGTCCTTCCAACTCGACTGCTTGTGCTTTCGGCTTCTACCCGAACGGCATCAAAGTGCAGACATGTTTTCCTGGAGCACGATTGCTCTGCTTTCGTGCATGTTCGGACTTGCATAGGCTGGCCAAGTCGTCAGGGCAGGTTGTGCTGTGGCCTTTCAGGGCGTTTCATGGCCGTCTGAGCCCCATGCCTTTACCGCGTTATGCCAGGTTCCTACAAATCAGAGTTGCAGGTTCACTTAGCCTTCAACCAACTGCGACAGATGTCATGCAAGCCTCCAATCAGAAAAGCGCGACACCGCGCAACTTCAGAAGCCTGTTGGCAGCGGTAGCACCCACATCTGAATCCACCCTACTTGATCCAAGTTCCCTTTAAAGCCACGACCCAGGCTTGTGCTGGTTGCGCCTCCTACACCGGCGGTCCTACCTGCCAGCACTGTGCCGAGGGCTTCATCATGCGTGAAGGCAAATGCACGGCGTGCACGAGCTCCGGGGGCTGGCTCCTTGGAGAATGCGGGGCGGGGGTTACTTGGAGGTTTATAGGTAGGGAGGGTTATAAGCAGGGTTACAAGCGGTTTAGGGTTCCTGTAAGGGTTTTATAGTGTTTGGGGTTCATGGGCAGTTCTAAGCAGGGTTATAAGTAGGGTAACTATACTTCTAACCCATCTTGGAGGACTTATAGCCCTACTGCCCTACTCATATAACTACCCTTGAACCTTAAACCCCAGAACCCCTAAACCCTATAGAACCCTTAAAGGGACCCTGCCCTACTTACAACTACCCCTGAACCTCCAGCTCCAAGTAGGGGGAGCTGAGGACTGGGATTCCTTTGGCGGTATGTGGGAGTTTCCGAAAATCGGGGACCCTAGTATACTACCCTAAATAGTATAGGATCCTTATCATGAGGACCCCAAAATAAGGTACCCCTAGTTTTCAGAAACTGCCATTTTGCAGATCAGAACTGATTGCGAGCCTCCCCATCGGTGTTGTTGTGCTGTGGACGTTTGGCTTCGTTTGTCATGACACAGCTTTCTCGTATGTTGCAGAGGCACTGCTACACCTGAGTTCGCAGAACTTTTGCGACCATTATGACCTCTGCTGATCAAGAAAAGTGTGATTGTTGCTGTGGTTGTGAATGTTTGTCTTCATCGTCTGATAACTTGTCTCAGCAGTGCGTGCAAAAGGCTCAGCCTGGACGGAAAATCCTGCACGCAGCTGGCGGCGAGCGATTGCAGCGACGAGAAGGTGAGAGGTCAATCGAGCAACGAGGCTTGCTGCCAGTGTGGCGGTGGCGTAGTTACGCCTCTTGCTGGCAGCATCTGCTGTATGGGGTATTGGGGCTTTGGTTTTTATGTTGAGGCTTCTCAACCGCATGTAGACCCCCATATTATGAACCCAGGCCGACGCCTTTCGCCTATTCCCACAGCCGCTGGTCCCTCGACTCCAACATCGCGACTGGGCTCATGTGAGGTCTTCACAGCTCGTGACACAAAAACACACACACAGGAGTGCGTGGAGGTTCAGGGGTAGTTATAAGTAGGGTTAAAAAGTCCCCTACTATGGGTTAGACTCGGTTAGAAGTAAGTATAGTTACCCTACTTGACCCATGAGCCCCAAACCAAAACCTATAGAACCCTTAAAGGAGCACTAAACCCCGTGTATCCCTACTTATAACGACCCATGAGCCTCCAAGCACACACTGAAAGTTCACCGCAGAATCCAAGAAGCTGCATAGCGGCCTAGCGCCTATAAGAAAACGCATTTGACATGATTTTAGGGTTTACTTACCTTTGATTAGTAGGGAATGGAAGAAGTCATAATTGTGCCCAATTCCTCCATTCCCTACAACCAAAGGTAAGTTTTGGGTTTCCATCCCCATGTCTTGTAATCGAAGCCCACGAATGCCTGTGTCTGTGTGCTCGTGTCCGTCTTTTCCTTCTCTCTTTCTCTCTTTGTTTTTCTCTCTCTCTCTCTCTCTCTCTCTGTGCTGTGCCAATCACTTTCGTATGTTGAAAGTATATTGAACTTGGACCTCAAATCGTGGACTCCAGGTGATGATGCCCGAACCGCGCACGGCCGATCGCTACACCGTGGATGCGAAGTGCGAGCTGGCGGCGCACAACCTGACCATGGACGGCTCTACAGGAGAGGGGCTTGAATTCGTTGGGTTTTAGGGCTCCGGGCTTATTTCGTTTTCGGATTCTGTTCTTGGGTATGTTTGTTCACGCTCCGGCATCTCCGGTGTTTAGGGTTTAGGGTGTGGACTTTTGTCCAGGATTCTGGGTTTCGGCCTGGGTGCATTTTGGGTTTCGAACCTGTGCACGATTGAAGCTGTAGCTGTCACAATGCTAAACAAAATAGCAAGAACAGCGAGTGTAATAGAAATACTAGTAGTAATAACTACTACTACTACTACTACTACTACTACTACTACTACTACTACTACTACTACTACTACTACTACTACTACTACTACTACTACTACTACTACTACTCCTTCTCCTTCTCCTTCTCCTTCTCCTTCTCCTTCTACTACTACTATCACTACTAGTACTACGAGTACCAGCACTGCTACTACTACTGCTGCTACTACTCGCAACAGCCGGCGGAGGAGTGATCTCCTACATGCCAGGGCGGGCCAAACCCATCGAGGCGCTTCTTTGTGGTCCAGTTATTCCAGTTTACTTGGATTAAAACAATCCGTACTGTAAGGGCCTTAATATTTGCCTATACTATTTTGGGGGTTCCTTTTTCTGATTATAGAAAATGGGCCCCAGAACCCTCTTCTAATTATTAAGGCCCCTATATTATCCGGTTTAGGGTTTAAGATTTTGTGGTACTGTTTCGTGAGGGTCTTAGCACTTCAGGAGTTTAGAGTTTGCGGCTTTCCAGCTTGTGCGGGCTTCGGGTCATAGGGTTTAGGGCCGGAGTTTAGAGTCAGCCTGAGCCTGCCGGGCTTTAAGGAAGTTCTTCAGCTTGGCATTGTTGAGTCCAATCACGAGGTAGTTTGCGATGTCCCAAGCCCGAAGCCCCAAGCCCTCTTGCTGTGATCCAGTGATCCTCGGCAACTGCTGAAGCAGATGGAGCCGGGAGCCTTGAGCCCGAGCCTGTCGCAAAGTAACTTGAGCAACTGTGGGTTTGGTGCCAGGAATCCATAAACCTGGACTCGGAATCCCCACTCCTCGAAGCCACACAGCCCGAAAGGGCGAACTTCGATTAGTCGATGGAATACCACAACATCCCAAGAGTGTGCCCTAGCCCCAAAGCCCCGAATCTTCCAGGCTTTCTCCTTCGAGTGCGAGGTCACGGCCCACCAAGCAACTGGTGTGAGCCTGCCTTCAGTGGTCACGATCGCGGCGGATGTGCTCAGCTACAGCTGCGAGCTTGCACAAGCCTGGCCTTCGGTTTGGGGCTCACAGGCTTCAGGGTTTCAGCATGTACAACCATGGAGCCAACATTTCCGACACATACATGTGCGGTCTTCGCGGGCTATGTTAAAGCTTCTCAGAGGGTACTAAGCATAGAAAGCTAGTTCAGGGTTTAGGGCTCAGCCGCGAGCGCTTTCTGAAGGGATTCTGGGATTTGGTGGTCAAGGTTCTACAGGGTTTTGGCAGGTCTGGCTTCTGGATGCCTGAGATGACGCGTGCATTGCACCTGGCCCACACCGTGAACCTTACAGGGGATATTCAACATAAGGGCCTTATGACTACCAATACTATTTTGGGGGTTCCTTATTAATAGTCATATAGTATTATGGGCCCGAAAACCCTATTCTAATTATTAAGGCCCCTATATCAGCCCAAACCGTAAACCCTACACGGGATGCGAGAGGAATTGGTTGCCGATTGATGCTAGCAACGGACCATGCAGCAAGCAACAACACGGACTCCCGAGCTTTCTTTTGGAAGGTGCACCTTTTGTCATGGCCATGTGAGGCAAAGAATCCTGGAGTAAGCCTGGGAACGATCCAGCATGCCAAGCTCTAGACTGCAACCGCCCTCACCCCCAATTAAGTCCTACATATTGAACCCCACCCCTTAAACGCACAGCCAGCACCCATAGCATTCATCTCCAGCCGAGGCTCTGCCACGCTGCTTTTCCACAGCGACAACGAGAAGGAGATTCCACAGACAAGTGGAAACGGCTGGTCGAAGTTTGAGACTTGGTCTCGGATCTGTAGTACCGTTATTATGGAGTCCTTATTGTAGATCCCTTTTATCGTAGCCCTAATGATAGTATCCCCTTGGAAGGCCAGCACTTCCTCCTCTGCCGGTCTTCAGCTGAGGCCCGACAAATTCAACACAGAAGCACGCAACTCCCCAGGACAGGCACCAGGTGACCCTAAACCCTTAAAGGCTCGGTCGAACCTACACTACACCTGGAACCCTCGAGCCTCGAGCCCTCTCTTAAACAGAGATGCCCAAGGCCAACGGTCAAGTTAGTAGCGTGTGAGATTTGGCTTCTTTGAATCGTTTAGATACCAAAACCCCCACAAGCTCGACATGTGAGTCATATGAGGGTATAGATTTGGGCCCACGGTCTTAACAAGCTTCAGATGTCCAGAATCGAAGCGTTGTAGTCAGCCTGCGTGAGCCTCGGTTGGGCGTAGGCTTCCGCATGGCCGCTACTCATAACCCTTTCGCCACAAACCCTCAACTTTAATTAATTCGATACCCCTAAATCCCACAGGAAGGACATTTCGTTGCAGAGAGTTGACTCAGCCGTGCAGACATACATGTCCGTGCAAAAAAATATTCTGAAGATACTCCACCGGAGCCCTCGTGAAAGCCTCAATCCACAACCCAAGGCCCTGGAATGGGACATAAGACTTATTGGCTGCGAACTCAACTTTTCAACTTTCGGGGATCTTATAAGGTCGATTCTGAAAGTTTCAACTTTAATTTCCTTAGGTTTTGGGCCAGCAAGCATAAGATGTAGATGGGATTTCAACTGGAGGAGCTTTGATGTAAGGGTTCAAGAGGGTTCACCTAGAATACCGGTGAAAAACGATCGGCTTCAAGTAAGGTAGCGATACGTTGTGCTGAGTCCCGGAGCCCCAAAGCCCCAAAGCCTGCAAAATCCGAAGACTCAAAGGAACTTGGCTGCGCCCCGGAGGTGGGACGCTGCTGTAGGAGTGCGCCTTTTACATCCTGCTTGACGTTATCGGATTGCAGAATGGGGCTTCTGGGGTCGTCGGATTCGGATGTTGCAGTGCAAGGAAAGACACGATGCTCATCCACGCTCGATGATTTGGGCCTGCCTTGTGCAAATGTGCGAGTCAAGAAATCTACCCTGAGCCGACAGTTTTTGTTCGCAGCCCCTTTGCGCAAGCCACAGGTCAGCTGGCTGAGCATTGCGGAATCCGATGGCACATTGAGCTGCTTGGTCTCCGTATGTTGTGCAGCAACCCCAACATGCTAATATCGATTTTGCAGGAGAGTTAGATGCAAGTTCTGGTAGGTCGAGATTGGGGTTACGCTTTCCTTATCGTCATTTATTCAGATGGATTCGGGGAAGCTTACTACATGGAGCGTGTGCAAGGAGGTAACAGGGAGTGTGTGCAGCAAAGAAGGCGACACCAGGTTTCGCTCAGATGTTCCATTGTCGGTCCAGGGCTTACAAAGTCCAACAGAAGTGTCACGGTTTAGAGTTCAGAGTTTCAATTTGTCACGGTAGAGCTGCACATCCCCAATAGGTTCGGCTGCCATGTATCGGGAGGTTACACAGCTCCAAGCGGGGCGAACGGAGGCGTCTCCGTCGCCGATGACAAGTTCTTCGGGCAGGACAGGGCCCACTCACTCGGGCTTACGAAATCCACGATGGAAGGGTTGAGGATACACTCATCGCAGTCTGTCTCCTGGTTTAGGATTCAGCGCACAAGTTCGAGGTAAACCCAAAGGCTCGGGAACCTCCAGCTTTTGTTCTGAAGCATGGGCCGGACGTCCTTCCGGTCGAGTCCGAAGATGCGGCCAGTAAGTGGGTGGACGAAGGATACGACGTAGATGCAAGCTTTGATGTTGAGGATGGCGCCGTTTGCATGGTCACTGCTTGGCAAGCACACAAGAAGTGCCCTGACTCAAAGATGTTCGGGCCGGACAGCTGCATGATAAGGCTCAGGCTTCCACAAATTGAAGCTGTACGAACTCTCAGGTGCCCGAATCATTGCTACTCTAGAGGCCGTCTCAGCATGTAGCTAACTCAACTCCGACAACATCCGCAAGAATGTGTTGTGTAGTTTATTCCAATGGCTTGCATTGGATCATACGCATGTCCCTATATGCCGAGACTAGGGTGAGTCCTTCTGTAAGTCTAAGTCTAAGCGCGAGACTTCACCCTGACTGGCTAAGTTTTCTCGGCTGACTGCAACGGTCACCTTTGAGGATTTCCCGGGTTTTGGGCATTCAGTTTCGGGTGGATTGCGTTTGTCTGCCGCTTCGGTTGCGTCGGCTGACTTCAGGCTGTGAAACCCTTAGCAACCTTTCCAACAGACGACAGTAGTTATGGCAAACCCTCCCAAACGCGTGCAAGATTGATCCGATCGCACCAGAGCTGTTCCCAAAGGCAAATAACAAAAACCGCCACTTTAGAACCCTGCTTGCTGTTGAGACATTGAACCTGCCCAAGTCGAGACTGCAGCCTGTAGCCCCAAGTGAAACCCAAAAAGTGCAATGACGCGACGCGAGACACAAAACCACCTTCGTGGCAATCCGCCCACGACCGTGGCCCAAGCTGGAGCAACTGTTGATGCAAGTTGGGGAGGGAGTCAGGTGAGAGATTCGGGTAGCGCAGGGTAGGTTTTCGCCGTGCTTGTTTAGAGGTTCCTTCTTTGGCTTTGAGTTCTTTCCAGATCAACCGATGCGAAGCGCTTTTTTTTTGAAGCCTGGCCCAATTTGCAACTTTTCCTTTCCGGCCGTAGACTCCCGAGCCGCCTCAAAGCCCTAGGCCCTAAGCCTGTAAGCGGTTCAGGGTTCAGGGTTTAGGGTTCAGGGTTTAGGGTTTAGGGTTCAGGATTTATAAGGTTTCAGGGCTCAGGGCCAGGGTTGATTCAAACACCAATGAGTGTTTTGTGGTACAGGAAAAGCCTTCACAAGTAGCAGCATGTATTTCGAGTGCGACCCCATGAAGCCCCCTCGGCTTGCCTCCATCCCCGTTTCACCTGAACATGAGCACCAGCCCCAACATCACTTTACCGAGTGATTGCACTATATTCCGAAAAACTCCGAACCAGAATTTCTGGACCCAAGGAAGACCGAATCCTGAAGCCCCCTCCACATCAAGTCAGGGTCTCGAATTCAGGGTTTAGCAGGCCGGGTGAAGGGCTTTAGGGTTTAGGGTTTAGGGTACCAACAGGTCGTTGGCAAGGTATATCGTTTTGGTCGGAGATCGGGCAGCGACACATGGGTTCTGCAGGTAGGCCCGAATCGAATCTGGGCCTGTCATAGTGGTAGACCCCAAACATCTCTCTGAATTTACATCCCAAGCATAACAGCTGTAATTCTGATAAGGGCTAAATGCCTCCAAATGCCCTACTATAGGGGCCCAAACACTTACCAATACAATTTTGCTGGTTCCTTGTATTGATATTATAGTATTACAGGCCCCAAAACCGTATACAATGCAATGCTTCGACTTCTGCAATTTATTTGCAGCAAGCTCTAGATATCTTCTTTGCGCGTGCGTGTATAAACATTCTTTTTCATGCATATGTCGTCCTTCGTTTCGCTCTTCGTTGACAGCCTTTCGCCCGCATCACCCCAGAACCCTATTCTAATTATTAAGCCCCTGTATGATGGAACTCTATGATACATCCCTTACATAGCCTTCAAAGGACCCTTAACGGAGCCCTATTCCAACTATATATTAAGGCTCCTATATTAACCGCTGGAAGACATGAGGTATGACATGGAGGCCGTGTCGGTGAGCCTTGGTGAGGAGCTGCACCCGCTGAGCCCCAAACCGATCAAGGAGCAGGGACTCATGAAGCCCTGGCACCCTGGCACTAACATAGGGGCCTAAATAATTAGAGTAGGGTTTTGGTGCCCATTATACTATGATTATAATGAGGGACCGGAGAGAGAGAAAAACAAACCCAAAGTAGCGTAAGTGAATGTTTAGGCCCCTATATAGTAGAGTTAGGGCTTGCGGTTAGGAGTTGTGCTTTGGGCTGGAGTCAGCATGGGCACAAATTATCACACCAGGCTTTAGGGTACAGCCTGCAGCGATTCTTTCGAGCTGATTTCAGTGGAGTCGTAGTATTAAGTCTTGTAACCCCCATACGAACCCTGAGGCTCAAAATGGCCCAGAAGCCTTACATAGTATGGTCTTTGGGCCCAAAAGCCTGCTAGTATGAGTCCTTAGAGCCTCAGGGGAAGGTTCAAGGCGGAGGCTTTGAGCACCCTGAGCTTCGGGAGTGGATTGCGTCCGAACCGTGCCAGAGCACCCTAGGGCTGGTGGTCCAGGAAAATCCAAACCTGCATGAGATGGATGTCGAATAGCCGCTTTAGTACTTTCAAGACCACCAGATCATCATTTAATGACATTATATCTAATATGGAACAACAATATTCATTAAATTAATAGTCTCGAGTTTTCGTTTCCGGGAACGCCCCCAAGTTCGAAACACCGAGGACCTATGCCATGGCATGTGACGTTTCCGGAGCAGATGGATCTACCAAGTTCAGCTACGACCGTATCTTGAACATGGGCCCTTCTGCTTCGTTAAGGATCTTACGCTTGTGTTGCAGGGACACCCATGAGAAGGATTCGCGCAGCAACCATTCATTGTGTCCAGCTGGTCTTTACTCCATCATGGCACTTTAGAGTCCGAGCAGCATGCCTCGTCCATGATCCAGCTCATTTTAAATCCTCCACACCCTGCGCAAGCCCCTAAATCTGTGAACCTTCAGCTGTATAGAGGGCTTCACGAAGCAGTCTAACTTACTCTAAACCCTAAACCGTCTAACTGAGCCCTGTTTGGGCCACCAAAGGGTTACATCTTCAGACTTGGGGTGTATTACATGGTTCAGCCGTTCTCGAAAAGCAATGTTGCAATGGCTTTTACGGACGCTGTCACCTTGACTGCGTGTCACATACAACCTCGCGAAGGCAAGTCTAAAGTGCTCTGTAGGATTCTGGGTGAAGCGCGTAAGCTTTAGTCGACCGGGTCATCCATCAGACGATCTTACGTTTGGACGCCGGTAGGCGCATAGAAGCTGCTTTTTTGCATGAACAGGCAGAACCTTCCGCTTCGTTATATGCTCTGCTGTTTAATCGTAACACACGAGGTTTGTTTCGGCCTGTCCGGGGTGGGAGAGAGGGACGTTTCTGAGGACTTCTTGCTGGCCACCCCATCCTCGACATCAGTCCGGATGGAGCCATCACCGTGGCCCCAACAAGCACGCTGAGCGCCCTGGTGCAAGTACAGGAAAGTTCTGGCAAAGGAATTTACTGTTGCAGGATTTCTGGAGACCGTTGGGAAACGAGTACCTTCAGGATCTCATCGCATTGGTTAAGGAGTTGGCCGCTTAAATTTTTCTTTGAGACATGTGTTTACTTTCAGGCTGGAAGTTTGTGACCCGCTGACCCGAGTTGGGCAAGAGGTCGGTCCGAGCTCTTGGAAGTTTGCGGCAACTTAGCGATGGCAAGACCTTAGGCTTAGAGGCGGTTTCCGCTCAGTTTCGTGTGTGACGAGACAGTCGCTAGGCCCAAAACCTGAATACACCATGCCGAAGTGATTCGGGCTCGGCCTAATTTGGCGGTTCGGATTCAGAGTCTAGTATATCTTCGGGGCTTGTGCGAAGGTGTGACAAAGCTTGCACATTGCCTCCCATGCCCTCGGAACGAATGCTCAGGTGAGGTCTTCGATGCACTTAGCGTGACGGGATCACAGCGCAAGGCGGGTTTTGCTTTCCCATGCGGGGTGGGGCTGTTTCATATGTGTATATATATATATATATATATATATACAAGAGTACCCGACTGAATACTTTCCGAAACGCAGAGCCGAGACTACAAGAGCCTTCAACCGCGTTCGAGATGTGGCGTGCCGTCTGCACATGAGTCTCGCCGCTCCAATTCCCAGATGTGGCGGCAGTGAACTCCAAAGCTCGAAGCCCCAGATTGTAAGGCGGAGGCGTAAACATGGGGGTTCTCAAAAGACCCAGAACAACCATTTCGCAGCCACGTCAATCGAGAGACAGATCCAGATGTGCAGCAGAACCCAGTACCGTAAGACGCCAGTAATTAGATCCTGATCTCAAGCTCATGAACCCTGGCCCTGAACCCAACCGTATTGTAAATCCCACAGCATCCCATCCTTACGCCTCAAAGTTCCCGCAGGCGTTCACTTTGAGCTGTCGAGTCTTCGGCATCTTCCCTGATCCAGACCTCGCCCCAGCACCCTGGCTCATAGGAAGCCAGAAGGCTGGGCGTTTGAGCAGCTGTAGGACGTGGGGTATACGGTATACGAGTCAGAGATTTTGAACTTTGAGGGTCTGCTTGACGAGATTCGTACGTGTGGTCTAAACTCAACCGTAAACTACGATGTTCGGTGGTTTCTATACTCTGGCTACACAGGAACCACATCTTTCGGCCATAGGGACTAGTTCGTTGCTCTGCACCCTTTGTTGGCGGCAGCCAGTTGTGTGAACCAGAAAAGCCGCTTGACCGGCAAGGACACACTAGGGTGTTTTTGTTGGCCGGGTCGCAAAGTTTTTGCCAGCTTACTGGGACCTGACAGCGGTTAGCGTGTTTCGTTTGAATGTGTCCTAGCATACGCAGCTATCGCATTTCAGATGCTGCCAGATTCGGAGTCTTTGGATGAGCAGCATACTGATTTCTACAGCTCGAGACCTACCGACGCGCCCTTCAGCACTTAATAATGCAAATAGAGAGAGTATGATGCATCCTTGAACCATGTTGAACAATGTTTCTAGTATTCCAGCACCCAGAATAGGGGACCGGTCGAGCCTTTCCCAGGTATATGCGGGTCTTTTGATTTGAGGTTGCTTGAGAGGCTGCGTGAAGTTCGGAGATTCGTGGCAATGCAAAGTGCGAAGCTGTAGGTTCCGCCTGACTTCACAGCAGCTTCAGCGTATTTCGGTTTTCAGAAGCGGTCGATGTGCAACCGAGCTGGCTCATGAGATAGAATCCGTTCCACTGCTCTTCAGGGCTTCAGCTTCAGGTAGGACGACTGGCAGTCACTGATAGAACTTTGCCAACATGAAGCTGGAACACGACTGTGGCAACCCTGTGGCCTTGCAATGATATCGGCAGCGCTAGCATACAACTGGCACCCACGAGCCCAGCAACTGGAAAGCCAGTAACCAAGACCCCTGGGAGGATCCAAGAAGTAGATCCCTTAACGGGGGTTCCGATTCAGTACCCATAGTAGTACAGGGCCCCAAAATAGGGGATCTGCTTTCTAGATCCTCCAAATGGGGTCTGGGAACATGACCCCAAAGCCCTCAAAAGCCCAGGGTCTGAGATGTTTCTCAGGTGGAAGCGACGCTGAGCATCGTAGTGCAGGATACCGTGTGCTGGGTTCCGCAGCACATCAAGGCAAAGTTGCAGCCGTGTTCGAGCTTTTCAATGCCCTTAACATCATCAGGGCGCACATGTTTGCAGCCTACTTACTAGCGACATAACTGCGAGACGCTGGAGCCCTAAGCCCAATTTCTGAAACGTCGTGGCTTGCCGACAACGCCGGGAATCCCAAAAACGCCCACAAGCTCTGCGGTTTGCGCAATGTTAGGTTACACTTACTTCTCGTCGAAAGCCTTTACAGCCTTCGACAGCATTCCTCGTATGATTTCTGAAATCACCAAGTTAACGAAGCCTTCATCTGGATCCCACACGCCGGTTGTCCCCTGCAACATCACGGAATCGTCTGCCCCGGCTCTGCAGACATGTAAATGCTGTAGCTTGCATCATCTCTCAGAAGTTCGGCTACATCTAAGGTTTAGTCTTGAGCCCCATCGGCTACAACATGGAATGCAACTGTTGGAAGGTTCTTGTTGCTACCTGTGAAAGTGATAGGCCTTGCTGAGTGGGTGAAACGGTGAATCCCAGACCCATGCAACATCACTGACAAGAAATATTGAACCTCGCCTAAGAACTCCAATATTCCAGCTGCAAGCCTTCGATCGGGTTGCACCATGTAGCCATACTTGGCAGGTGCATGCTGAATAGCTCTCAAGGAAGAATATCTCAGAATGCCCATGTCTGCGAATGGCCGAAACCTCTGCGCGGCCAGGGGACCGGTATGCCTGACCCCAGCGCCAACACCGAGGTCTGTTGGGGGTGAGGGCCGGGAGCTTCCGGTGATGCCAAGGCTTGTCGTGTTGGAAGGCCTGAAATTCGGGATCTCCGGTTTGATAAGTTGGAGGCTGCTCGCAGTCCTCGGCTCTTTGGTGACATGGCCTTGCAGTGCCTGAGATACCTCATGTTGCAAGTCCCAGTCGCGCAGGCACGAATAGAAAGTAGAGTCGGGACCTAGAAGGGAAACACCACCTAGTTCCTGAGCATGATGTAGAGAGGGAGAGAGAGAGAGAGAGAGAGAGAGTCCTTGGGAACAAAATGAAACCAATCCGGTGAAATGGTTTTGGAATTAGGAGGCGAAGAGTAACCAATGCCATGTCAACGACCACGAGCCCGAACCAAGCCTTTCGAACTCGCAGTTCTCAAGCACTTTATCCCAGTAGTAGAGTAGGCAACCTTTAACCTTCTTTGGGTAGTATAGTCCCTATATAATCCCTATATAACCAAACTACAAGTAGGTAATCCCAGCTTAAATCTCGTACGCCATTGTCTGTTCGAGCCTGGAGAGGCTTGTCTGCGGGCCAAGTGTCTTAACTTGCGATCCGGTCAGATGCCGAAGCCTTAATTCGGCCCGTTAAACCCTGAAGCCCCAAATCCCAAGCACCCTAAACTCGATGGCCTACTATAGGGGCCGAAGTAATTACCTACATTATTATTTGGGGCTCCTTGTTGTAATTTTAGTATAATGTACCCCAGAACCCTATTCTAATTATTAAAGCCCCTATAGTACATGTTAGAGCCTGTGGAGGCCAAGTGTCGATCCCAATGCCGCGCAGACGAGACCTGTGCAAACTACAAGTTTGACAGCCAATGTGTGAGGCGAGACTGGCTTAATGTAGGGGCCTTAAGAATTAGAATAGGGTTTCGGGGGCTTGCTTAGTGGGCCTGCCATCGGGGCTGCAAGGGCGGTTAACGAGGGCTCGCTTGCGGAGGCGTGCAGGACTTAATTAAAGAAGCCGTCGCATATTAGTGTCCTGCGCGGGTTGGGAAGCATTTTTCTCTTTCGATATAGGGCTCGCCCATAGAATGTCGACTTGCTGGTGGAAAGGTCTTGGTATGGATCCGCTTTACGCAGTATGGGTAGATGCAGCCGTGTCTGAGTGTGTTGCCACGGCCTCTTGCTGAACTCCGCAACTCAAACAAACTTGGGCTTCTTGAGGCAAGTTCCTGAAACCATAAATGACTGCTAAACTCCATACCCTTGACAACGTGGTTGTCAAAAAGCTCGAAATCTCAACATCGCAACCTACATTGGACCTACACGGCATTCCTCATGGAAAGGGCATGTATCGGTAACCAACAAACTTCGTTGTGCAGGTATGATGTTCGCTCCGACGGCAATCCCGTTACGGTCGTTGCCAAGGTTACCAACTGTACCAACGAGGGTACTTGCTGCCTGCCTGGACGGAATTTCGGGGCCTAATGGGCTGCTCTGGTTTTGGGGCTTGGTTTGGCTGGAGCATGCTGGGGTTGTAGATTTGTAGTTATTGTTCAAGATACAGTGTGTTTACTCAGCAGTGTGTTCTTCTCACTGGCATCGCAGCAGCATGGTGACAAGTGCTGTTGTTGTTGATGATGTTGTTCCTCCAGAATCAGGTCTAGAGTCTAGGGAGTCCTGGCTGTGAGCATATGTCTGGAGCTTCGTCATCAAATCCCGGACCTGTTGTGGGTCACAAGGCCTATGAATTTGGAAAGGCTCGTGTTTGCTTGATGGTGCTAGCCAGTTGTCTGGCCAAAAGGAAATCCAAGGACATCCGGTGGATACGAACGTGATGTACTGATACTAGCAACGACAACACTGATGCGGGCCGTACGGTTTCAACAGCGTGTATACCAGACTTAGTTCCGTACCGCTATCTCTATACCAAAGGTAAAAACTGACAGCGTTCAGAAGTTGCAGGTATGAAAGTGACACATTCCGACTGGTACCTCGCCGGTACCTACTGCCCTCTTGGCAGAGATGCAGTGTTGGGTGGCATCGTGTACCTCCGGGAGCATGTGACGCAGCAGGACATGGTGCAGCTTAGCTGTGCTTGGAACATGTAGATGAAAGCCTCAACGAAATTTCGGATCCGGTCCTCGTTCGATCATAATTTTCGCGCCACATTTTCGCGCCTCAGGGACCCGCAACACATCGGGATGCAGGCTGACGCACGGATCCGGCGACAGCGTCAAGGCTGTCCAGCTAGTGGGAAACAGCACCAGAAGAGCCACCCCAATTCCACAAAGACACTACACAACTCGAAAAATGTTTCGAAGCCCTTGCGTCAGGCCCTAGACCCTAACCCTAAACCCCCGGTTGTTGATCCCGACAGCAGCATGACAAAGTGCCACGCACAAGGCCTTAATGTCCGAACCCTCGACGACTCAAAGATCTGAGTCGTGCTGGCTATAAACAATCATGGATGTTCCCAGGGGTCGTAGATAAATAGAGTGGAGCTCCTTCAAAGGAGGTCTTCTAGCGATCCAAAAGGGTACCATAATATAGAGGCCTTAATAATTGCCTACACTTTCTTGGCGGTTCCTGATAATAGTTATGGGAGAAAGGGTGCCACCTTTCCCGTGCAAGTTTCAATTCGCCCGGAGCTGTACGGCGACCCATCTGATCCCAGCACTGCAGACAAGAGCCCCGTCACATATTCCACGTCGGCCCCGGGAAGACTTAAGGTGCCCCGTCATGTTGTAGTAGATAGGATTAGTATTTTTATGGTAGAGAAAGCTTGACTTAGGAGCCTTACCCTGAAACTCAGGTATCTTCGAGAGGGAGCAGCAGGTGGCTGCGGTGCCGGCGAGTGGGCTTTGCTTGCACCGTCAAGTGGAGACTTCATCGACAAGGCTCCACAGGTAAGGTTTATAGGATTTACTTAGCAGCTGGTAGGTAACCTTTAACCTTTGGGGGTTTATGCAAACTTTTCTTGGGCTAGGGTACTCAGCCACTGACTAAGTTTAACGTGATTCGGAATCTGAGTTTCAGACGAACCTTGAGTTCTGCGGACCCATCAGCTCGATGCTCGAGAAGGGTCTTGCATCCGTTCCCTAGAAGCATGTTGCGCAAACTGCATGTCCGAAGCTCAGGGAAAACCCTTCTATAGACTGCACGCTTCTGGCATGCACGTTGTCTTCGAAGTGTCCTCCTTCACGTGCCCATAGGCTTTCCAAGTCGTTTACATCACACCAAGATTCTGAATGGTGGTTTTGACGATGCGGGATTGGCAGGCTAGGATGGCTTGGATTTGAAGACTGTTTATGAATGCTTTTATCGGTGTTGATTACCACGGGGACCCGCGCATAGCGTGATGTTGTTCTTAGCACTGCTCAGTTGAGGGTTGAAATCTCCCAAACTGCAAACCAGAGCCTGATCAAGCCCACGGAAGATGAGTTGTCGTAATGTAGAGGCCTAAATAATTACCAATGCTATTGTGGGGGTTTTCCTTGTAATACTGTGAGTATTGTATAACATGCCCCAAAACCCTATTCTAATTATTAAGGCCCCCATATTAGGATCTTGACGGAGTGCTCGGTTGCGTGCATTGAGTGCCACTCTTTGGGCAAAACGTGTTTGCTGCCGGTGATCTTGCGGAGGAAATTAAGGCACCACACGAGCCCAAAGCCCGGAAACCCCAACCCTCTGAGACTCCTAAGCCCTGTATCACAAGTCTTAATAGGTAATATATCGGGAGACCCCCCCACCCTCAACCCCTGACATTGTTCAGCTGGGCGGGTGGCCAAAAAGCCCTAAACCCCTAAACCTTAAAACCTAAACCCTAAACCGATCTTCAATCAGACCAGGCTGCGAGACATTGGGACAAGAAGCTGTCCATATAGCGTCACCGATACGCTTAGAAGTGCCCGAATACCAGCATCCGCGATGCGACGTATTGTTCATGATCGCAGCAACAGAAGCTCAGCATCAGGTGAGCCAAGAGTAGTAGTGAGCAAGCGCAAAAAAGAGAGTCGCAGATTGAACATTCCATGCCAGCGGGAGCGGAGCGTGACCAGCATCTCACGCAAGCACCTGTACCCACCAAGCACGTATGCAAGTAAATGTTTAATGTGCACATGCATACATGCGCCGCGATGCGCCCATGCGTGTGTACAAGGGTATGCGTATCTGGACATGTATATGCACGTGTGAATGTTGATATCCACCTGTAAGTCTAGTTGTGTGATTGTGTGCATGTGCGTGTGTGTGTGTGTGTGCGCATGCGCACGTACTTACATGTTAACACGTACACGCGAACAGTACATACATTACATGCTACACACGACATACTACATCCACATACTTACACCAATACCTATACATACCCACATGACATACCCACATTCCTATACATGCCTGCATACTTATGTGCATGCATACATGCATACATATAGGGGTAATCATAAGTACACGGACGCAGGAACAGACACCGCAATCGCACAAGCACACACGCACAAACACACACAGATATAATATAAAAAAAAAAAATATATATATATATATATATATATGTATATATATATATATACATATATATATATATATATATAATATAAAATATACACATACGTACATACGTACATACATGCATACATAAGTTCACGCATGTGTGTGTGTGTGTGCATGTGCATGGACCCGCATGCGTACGCCGATATTCCATTGCTACGACTCTGCGAGTTTGAGTGCTGCAGGGCCTTGGCCTCTTCGAGCTCCGGGGCACGCGGCAGGCGTGCATCAGCAGTTCCTCTGTGGAGCATGCGCTTCGCATGTGCCAAGCTCAGTCGACAGGGGGCAGTTTCAAAATTGTATGTGCTAAGTAGTAGTTGGCATCAATAGTTTCAGGCGTGTGCAGCTTTTTGGGAGATTTGGGGAAGTGTTGATACTTTAGCTGCTGTTGCTCTCCTCCTGATGTGTTGGAAGGCTCGGTAGTGTCACTCGTGGGTTTGATGCATGTGACGAGGATGCTACTTCGGTCATATCTGACAGTTTGTTGGCTTTAGCTGCTGGAAGTACAAATTTAGCTGGCATCGGTGCTGGATTAACTCCCGAAACCTGTGAAGTGACTCGGTAGTGCAACTTTCGTTTGTAGGTGTGGCTGTGTCAGAGCGGCCAATACCTAGGTTTCGGAGATGTCGAGAAGTGCTGAGACAGCGCCGCAGCAAATCTGTCGAAATCCGTTGCCTCCTCCAACACCGGAAACGCACCCGCAAGGACAACAACACCAAAAGCACTGCTCAACAAAACAGGTGTTCCTCGAAGGAGTTGGCCTGGATCGAAGATCAGGCGTGCATAGTGTAGGGGAGTGGATGAGGAGGACATACTCTTACAGATTGATGTTGTGTTCCCCTTGTCTACCATGGCTTCGGAATTAATAGAGTGGGTAACCTTTAACCTTTTCTGGGGAGTATAGTCCCTATATAATCATGCATAACCAAGAAGGTTAACCTGTAGTTCCCCATCATACCCGACAAGTAGGTAGGCTTGAGATTGCGGTCAAAATTGACGACCGTCCCCCGCAGAGCTACGACCGCCGACCAGGGTGATGCTTGAGTTGATTATGTGCAGCTCGAAAGCCCGAACCATACTTGGGTATAGGGACCTATAAGTTTCAGAGCCCCACCAAACAAACCCAAAAAAGTCGTCAAGTGCGCCTGGTCGAAATCAAAAGACATACTCCTCAAAGTGTGATGGGACTCGTTGCAGAACCCTTTGATCAGGAAGAGGACGAAGAGGGTCAGCCGTACCTAGTGCTGGATGACCCGGGGACCGCTCAGCCAGCCGACTACTGGCTACATCCCTGCGATTGCTCCTGGGCTCTCATGATCGGGTTGACATCATTGAAGACTATAGTTTACTTATATTAGCAGAAATCCTAAGTTTAATGAAAGACTATACTAGTAGCACCCGACTTGGGAATAAAGAAAATCGACTGGCTTTATGCGCGTCAGATGAGGGTTCCGGGTTTCGGGCGACAGAAGGGTCTCGTCTAGCTTCTTGCTGTGCGCTTCGTACGGCTGTGCTTGCTTAGGTGCTTAGCATCGACGTTCTTGCTTGTTGCGAGTCTCGCAACCGACAGCCCAACAACGGCAAGTCAGAGAAGTTTAGGGGGGTGGGCGGGATTCGGGAGGATGTGTTTGGTAGTTGTTGAGGCCAATCAATCCCTGGAACAGCCGCATGGAGCCCACAAGAAACCTTCTCAAGCATAAGCTCAATCCCCAAACCGTGTGCACCCTTCGTGGAGCACGTTAGAGAAGCCCACAGGAATCGGGAAAGCAGCGGCCATTGAACATGCCAGCTTGAAATCTGTGTCCCAAGCGGGATGTAGTAATACAGAGGGTTTTGTAAATGGGGGAACGGGGGAACCTTGTAACATGAAGAATGCCCGGTTCTCTTGAGTTGCTTTTTCTGTGAGCCAGTTTATATACTATGTCCGAGGCGCACCCGATGCTTGGGGACCTGACCTGCCAGTGGATCCGCAAATGTACGAGCATCTCCCGGCGGCCTGTCATGGCATGGAGTTTGTCTCGGAGATTTCAGGATGTAGCGGGGTTTAAGAAACGAATGCACGGCTCTTCCAGTTCATTTGGCTTTGCCGTCTTGGCTTTGGCAAACTCCTACGTGCAGCTGAAGCGATTGATTTGGATTCCAGCTTTTGCGCGAACTTGGGGTGGAGGTCTCGGCCGGCCACATGTGGTTTGTGAGTACCATCTAGCTTTTCAGGTTTATTTGTGCATGGCAGGTTCAGTGCTTCGGCCTGGGCCGAGGGCGTTGAGGCATGCAAAGGCTACATTGTATTATATATTATATATTATATATTATATATTATATATCATATATCACATACTATATATGTATATTACTACATGGCTCAAGCCTGCCATGAGGCCAACAGCAGCAACCAATTCATTCCGACCCCGTACGTCATCGTCACGGGGCAGCTTGTCTGCCCCTCGCGGCAACTACTGGGAGGCACCTCTGGAACCGGCAGAAGTTGAGAGAAATGGGTTCAGATTTTTGCGGTTCATCACGCATTGGGTGTGTTAACGGGCTTGCGTTGTTCCTTCTGCAAGGCTGCCAATTGCGTGTCCCAAGCCGGAGCCCGAACCTGTCTCTTTGCGCCCCAGCATAGTAAAGGGAACTCCAGAAAGTTGGAATATGGAATAATGGCAGGATCCCCTATAATTTACCTTAAAGGGATTATGATAATGATATTCCGACTTTCCGGCTTCTACTGTAGGGTGTTGTGTGGTGTAGGGCTCCTAAAGAGCCAAATGCGGAATTCGGCCGCAAGCACTGCAAGACCGCCATTCGCCCACAGAAGCCCTGTAAGGAACCCTAAACCCTATAGATCCCTTATGGATCCCTTTAAAGGAACCTCTAAAGATCCGGGGTACATCCCTTTTGCATATGTATTGCCGTGCCCTGTAAAATTGGTTCCCAAGTACTTTGGCAATCAGGGTTCCTTAACGAGTGCCACAAGGGTCCCTTAAAGGGTACTATAAGAGTTCCTTAAAGGGTACCATGAGGGTTCCTTAAAGGGCACCATAAAGGTTACAGTGTAAGGATGACGGCTGCGTTTTGACCCAACAGGCGGCATCGGCGTGCATTTCCAGTCAGAGGAGGAGGCAGGTTGAGCGCTAGACTTAGGGGCGTAAATAAATAGCATAGGGTTCCTTCAGCACAGGACATATCTGAAGCACCGATCTGCTTGAATACTACGGCCTGCAGCCCTAATTCCCCAATTGAGCCATGAAGGCTCTGGAAGCCCTAACGGTTTTGGGGTTACAGTTGCCCGGTAATTAATGGTTTGAAGATGCTGCCTTCAGCCTTGTCCCTGAAGAGCCAGATCCCATCTCTGGCCCTAAACCCTGAGAATTTTCGTAATTTTGGGAAGACCCCGTCGTTCGCAACGTTCGTCTCAGTGTCGCTGGACTCTGACATTCCAATGGGTCTGAATATCGAAAGTTGCACCCCTTCCAGTCCATATGCCAATGTCTGTATAATTTACCCACAAACCATAAGACCCTAACCCCCCAAACCCTAAACCCCCATGTTGTAGTACAGGGTTGTTGAGGCTGTTTTGGGTTCATGTTACAGTGTCTAGGTCTGTCGGTGTTAGGTCAGATTGCGTCACTGCTTATTGAGGCTGCAGTCTCGAAGCCGTGCTACAGAGTCGCCGTGTCCTCCCCTGCAAGACTCCTAAGCCCTAAGCCTAAACCCTTAAACCCCAAATCTCAAATCCTTGAGTCGCCTTTTAACAGGCACCTGCAATACTCCAGCCAAGCCTTTGAACAACCCTGGCTCCTGTGTGAGAACCCGCGTGTAGTGGACCCCAGCTCTACTTCGAGTAGAGACCTTCCCTCGAATCCTACGAGAGCCTCCTTAGAAAAGCCAACGCTAACCCTGAACCCTGGCTCAGGCCAATGCGTTGTGAACCCCCTTTTTGAATTAAGCCATTTTTGGCTTTAGCACAAGAACAAACGACAAGGGCCGTATAGAAGAATATGACACAATGAAACACTATACTGCTATAGAGTAGATAATGTAAGTATAACGTAACATGCTGAAACATAATGACATATACTATAACAACATATTGTAAGACATAATATAGTATAGTATAATGTAATAATGTAATATACGATCATAGGTATATATGTATATACAAACATGATATTAATTACAACAGGCTATCATAGAGTTTATAAAACAAAAAAGACAAAAGGAAAGGGTGCCCTTGTCAGGTACTGGAGCCGGCAGACTGCGAGGCCCGGTGCCGGGAGCAGTCGACCTGCCTCTTCTTCTGGCCTCTTGACGAAGATTATGTGCAGAAGGGGGATGGGTTTAGGGTCTAGGATTTTGGATTATATGCTTTATATGGGACTTTCCGTTTAGGGTCTAGGATTTTAGATTACATGCTTTATATGAGACTTTCCGAAAATTAGGGTTATCTTGGGGTTCCTTAAAGGGTTAGGGTGCCTTTAAAGGGCTCTACAAGGGTTTAGACTTTCATAAAATTAGGGGTACCTTATTTGGGGGTCCTTACAATAAGGATCCTACTATGTATATGGGGGTTTCCGAAAACAGGGCACCCTAATATAGTACCCTAAATACTAGGATCCTGATTCCCAAATTTCGGTACCCCTAATTTTGGGAAACTCCCATATGCTTTCGGGGGATGTAGGGTTTAGGATTTTAGGATTTATGGTTTAGGTTTTTTTGGTTAGCAGAGTCTGGGTTTCTTGACGAAGATTATGGTTTAGGTGGGTTTTTAAAGGGGGGCCGTAGGGCTTTAGGGTTTTAGGGGGTTGAGGTTCAGGGTTGCAGGGTTTAAGGTTCCTTACTATGGTTTCTGCATATCTGCTTCTGGCCTCTTGACCACCGGGTTTTGGAGCTTAGGGTTTAGGGGTTCCTTAACGGGAGGTAGGGCTTAGAGGTTTAAAGGCATAGGCCTCTTGAAGAAGATTATGGTTCGGGTGGGTTTTTAAAGGGGGTTAACGGGTTTAGGGTGTAGGGATCCTCATTACTTTCTTCTGGCTTCGGTTTAGGGGCTTCGGGGTTGGAGCTTAGGGGCTCAAGATTTTCGGTGTTCAGAGGTTTTTTTAATGAGTTTGAAGGATTTGACAATGGCATGTTTCTTTCGTCTTGACCAAATCGCGTGGCGAAGTTTTGGTGTTGGGGTGTTTCTAAAGGGGTGTAAGGAACCAAGGTTTGGGGTTTAGGGTTTTGCGTTGCTTCACAGTTTCTACAAGGGTTGTAATTACTTCTGGCCTTTGACGAGATCGCCCCGCCTGGCCGGATAAAATCTGGCGAGGCACTCATGTTGGTGGTTAGGGTGGCCGAACAAATTGGGCTTCGAACTGAGGTTAGGTGTGAAGTGTTTTGGGGTGAGGTTTGTGTTCAAAAAGGGTAGGGTTTAAGGGGCCTTCAACCTAACACCAAACCCAAAGCCCTAAGCCCAATCTTCTAGGCGGCACACGGCTGATCCTGCAAAGGCCGAAAGCCTGAAACCTCTAACTACCCTCTGAACTCTTTTTCTTTGTGCGCTGTGTTTAACCCCCTAAACAGCGCACACAGCCTGTCTGTGTTCCCTAGACCCCTTCGTGCAAGCCTGCACTCGGGCAATCCTTGGCACGAACTCAGCAACAACATCGCACTGAATAGTTAACACTGCCAGCACGGTTTCTTTTTGACGTCCTCAACCTCGTATGTATGCATGTATGTCTATAAATGCGTTCTGTGCTCAGGTATGTATGTGTGTATAGATATATGTAGATATATGTAGATATACGTACATATGGGCATCGACACGCACGCACACACACACACACTATATATATATATATATATATAGAGATCTACACACTCTCATAGATAGATGGGTACTTGTAGATATAAGTCCCTCTTCGTGTTGTAAGGCATGGGTCCCAACACGGCGCAGCGACCTGCCGTCTCTTGGAACTCTTCGCATCCGCGTTTAAAGATGCTGGGTTTTGGTTTTTGGGTTGTAGGGGTGTGAGTGCAGGATTTCGTGTTGCCCTTGCTCTTCTCAGCTTAGGTTAAGCTGCTCAGAAAGTTCTCAGCCGAGTGCCTTTAGATTTACGAGTTCTTTGCTGATAGAGTCGTTGCTGTTGTGGGTGTTGTCTTATAAAGACAACATATACAACCAAATAGATACATAAATACAGAGCTAAGCATCTCTTTCAGAGGTTTAGCGGTGTAAGGGAGTTGGATCTTTGGCTCCAGGAGCCGCAGCAATGAGTTCCATTATCAGTTCCACTATGATTACGATGTCCAAAGTATGTCCGCAGTATACCAGAAGACTGTTCGCGTAGCGAACAGTGTCCTCGAGTTTCAGAGCTCTGGAGATCATGAATCTTCTGGTTCCAAAGCCTTGCTAGAGTCAAGGGACTCGAAGTTTTGGCTTGAGAGAGCCTGATGATATCCTCCGAGAGTTCTCATAGAGAAAGCCCTGATGACCACAAAACCTCTAAGTCCATAAAGCCGTCTCAGGCCGTAAACGCTGAGGCCCTAAACCACTAAACCCTAAACCCCGGACCCCTAAACCCTTAACCCCTGAACCCAAAACCCCTAAACCCTAAACCTCAGGTTTGTTTACCGGCTGCGACAATCTTGTGCGCGAGTTCAGCTTGGAGGGTGACCTGAAGGTCGGGCTCTACTACAGGGGCAAAAAAATAGAACAGGGTTCCCTTTAAAGGGATCCTTTACCCTAGGGATCCTTTACCCTAGGGATCTAAGGACTCATACATTATGGCTTTTGGGCCCAAAGACCATACTATATAAGGCTTTTGGGCCATTTTGATCCCCAGGAAATCCGATAGGGGTTACTATAAGGTCACTCTGACATAGGGGCTTAAATAATTACGTATATTATTTGGATCGGGATCTAACAGCTGGACTAACATTGGAGTTTCGGTACCTCCAGGTTCCTTTAAAGGGTTACTATAAGGGTAGCATGAGGGTTCCTTTAAAGGGCTCTTGTCGGGTTTGGAGTCTACGATACTTAGGGGGTACCTTATTTTGGGATAGGGATCCGACTGCTTAGGGCATTAGATTAGGGTCCCCTATTGTCGACATTGCTGATTGTATTTGGGGGGGTGTCTTTAGGGTGCCATAAGGGTACGGGCCCTGCAAGGGCCTGCGAAGGTTTGTATAATGGTTCGGGGTTAGAGCTTTGGATTTGTCGAGGCTTTCAGGGTGTAATTAGGGGGCCTAAATAATTGCCAAGACTATTTTGTTGGTTCCTTAAAATAATTACAGTATAATGGGCGCGAAAAACCCTATTCTAATCATTCCGGACTCCATATTAGGTAGGCCAGAGTCTATTTTAAGCCTGTCTTTGCACAAGCTCTCGATCTGGATGGAGATCGTGGGGAAATCCGGGTTTCACGATCTCCTGTATTAATAGAGGGGCCTCAACAATTAGACTCGGGTTCCTTTAAGGGGTTTCTTTAAAGGGACTACTATCTATAAGAGGGTTGTATACTGTAATATAGGGGCCTTGATGATTAGAATATGGTTCTGGGGCCCATGATACAATAATTATCAAGAGGACCCCCCAAAACAGTATTGATAGATTATTTAGCCATTTAGCCCACTACACTACAAAGCTTCGTCAATTTTAGGGCCTAGCAGCACTTGTTGGACCTGAATAAGTGACTGGACCTCGCGTTCATGAAAGGGCGCAGTCGGGGGTGTGGAGTTTGTCGTCGCGAAGTTACGGCATGCTCAAGGTTTCCAACATCGCCGCCAAGGAAGAAGCTGTGAACAGATTGCTTGGACATGCTTGGACGCTAAGCGATCGCACACAACTTACACACAGTAGCAGAAGTCTAAAGACATAACCCCGAATTTAACAGCAGAGCTTCTTCCATCTGGAGGCAATGCCACGCAGCCCGAGCTGCTCAGTTTCTGATGCCGCCGCTTTCACGCATTTTTGGGGGTTCGAGTTTGAGACTGATTGTCTTCAAGGTGCTGCATAGGCTTTGGGGGTATGGGGGCTCAGGATTTTGAGCCGTAGCTCAGAAAGCTGAACGCAGATTCTTCTGCCTCCGATCCTCGGTACAATAACCGGCTAGTGGTCTCCGCGCCCTGCACTGCTAGCGCCAAAACCTCAAGTCAAAGCCGAATTTCCAAAACAGACATTGAGTCGTTCGGTCGTTCGAACAAGAGCCCAAGCGGCACCGCTGCAGAACCATTCCTCTGAGCTGAGGCAAAATGTTGGGCGACGTCCCTGCGCAGGACGGAAGTTGCTGTGGCGCTTCGTTTTCGGCTTCGAGGGAGCAGAGTTTAAGTTTACCCTTGGAGGTTAACATTATTGATGTGGGCTATGTTGCCCCTCCGCTTAAGCCAAAGTACTGCATCAATTCCAGACCCACTTTGGTCGAAAGCCTAAACTGCACATCTCCGAGTTGCGAGAGTCCAAGTTGTGATCTGAAACCTTAAGCATCTAAACCAAATGTTACTGGGTATAGGGGGTTGCACGACCCAACCACGGGAACTTATGTAGCCCAATCGCGGCGTGCCATGGGGTTTCCGGTAATCCTGCTGTAACGGCTGTAGAACTTGATCAATAACATGCAGGTGTGTGCGTATGCGTGTACGTATGTGTGCTTGCCTCTGTATCTGTACATGTATATGTATATGTAATTATATGCGTATGTGTGCATGTGCATGTGCATGCGTGCACGTGTGCATGGTGCATGTGGGTGTGTGGGTGTGTGGGTGAGTGGCTGTGGGAGGGTGTGGGTGGGTGGGTGTGGGCGGGTGCGGGTGGGTGTGGGTGTGTGTGTGTGTGTGTGTGTGTGTGTGGGTGTGTGTGTGGGTGTGTGTGTGGGTGTGTGGGTGTGTGTGTGGGTGTGTGTGTGGGTGTGTGTGTGTGGGTGTGTGTGTGGGTGTGTGTGTGTGGGTGTGTGTGTGTGTGTGTGTGTGTGTGTGTGTGTGTGTGTGTGTGTGTGTGTGTGTGTGTGTGTGTGTGTGTGTGTGTGTGTGTGTGTGTGTGTGTGTGTGTGTGTGTGTGTGGTTGTGTGTGTGTGTGTGTGGGTGTGTGTGTGTGTGTGTGTGTGTGTGTGTGTGTGTGTGTGTGTGTGTGTGTGTGTGTGTGTGTGTGTGTGTGTGTGTGTGTGTGTGTGTGTGTGTGTGTGTGTGTGTGTGTGTGTGTGTGTGTGTGAGAGAGAGAGAGAGAGCGTGAGAGAGTTTGCGTTTGTGTTTGTCTATGTGTGTGTGTGTGTGCATGTAGGTGCACCTGCATATGTATATGTACATGTATATGCGCATGTCTATGTATAGGTACTGGTCTAGTGATGTTTGTGTGTTTGTAACTTCCGAGGCTCGTATGTAAATTTGAATGCATGTATGTATGTATGTTTGTATGTATGTATGTATGCATGTGTACATTATGTGTATAAATATATATATATATATATATACACACATGCGTTCCTACATACATGTTTACACCTATACATATATACAAGTATATATATATATATATATATATACATACTTACATACATACATACATATACATACACATATTTTAACACACACACACACACACGCACACACACACACATTTATACATATATATATATATATATATATAGATGTTTGCAGCTTTATATTTCTTCGCTTATTGAGCCAGCCATCCGCATGTCGACATTTGCGGACGCGGCTAGGTCTTCTCCTTGGTTGGGGTGCGAGAGAGCAGCTGCCCATGGCATCTGGGTTTAGGGTTTAGGGTGCATGGGCCCAACACTTGATTACCACCAATTCAAACACATAGACTTAACATTTTCCCTGCGGTGCGATCTTACAGCTGGGCGGTGGGAGAAACATTGGCAAAAATAAGCCAACAACTTAACCTCCCAAGTCAAAGAAGATTAGGTCCCCCGAGCAGGAGCTTCCTGTCCATGGCTTTCAATGCAAATGGCGGAAACTCCGTGGCGGCTGGCGGGACTGTCGGTCTCAATCTGCCACCGAAGTCTCTCCGCCGAAGTCAGTCGAGATCTTCTGGCAGCAGCAGGTCAATGCCACACATGGAGGAGATATCGATGTTGATGGTGCCATGTTGGTGGTGGCAACGATGGTGATGTCGATTGTGGCCAGGAGGCTTAGGATTACGATGGGCTTCAGATCGGCGGAAAGGACGGAAACCGACAACGTGCCCATTCGGTGGGGTCTCGGTAGAGCCACGGAAGTGGTCGATGTCTGAGGGCCCAAACTCTGGAAGCATGGACCCATAGCCTCACGTTGCACTCCCATGGTTGTACGTTTACCCACCCGGCCCTCACCCGGCTGTCTAACGCTTAAATATTCCCGAACTCTGGTCTCAACCGATCAATCCTGAATCCTAGACCCGAAGGCACAATCCCCGCAGCCTCTCGCTCGTAACGACCTTTGCAATTTACGTGAAGCTGATTGCCGCAATGCCAACAGGGGCTTGAATCTTTGTGTCTGAATCCCTTCTCAACCATTAAGCTTCGAGCGGCTCAGCGTTCAGCAAATCTTGCAGCCTACACATTTAGGCAACCACAGCCCTGAGTTCTAAACTCAAAGCAGTGTCCTTACACACCCAGGCCAGCAGCACCTCCGTCTGACGGAATGTTTGCATGGTTTGAGAGCCTCGTTTGGATATTGCGGATCTTTAGGTTCAGCGTGTCATGGGGGTACCTGATTCTGGGGTCCTTATAACACGGATCCTACTATTTAGGGTATTATAACTCCCATGTGTGTCAGAATCCCCATGGGTTTTGTACTCCCTTCCTCCGTCCACATCCTGATGCCAAACAAGCCAAGACAGGCGGGCGAGCGGCTTTGGTCAGATGGATGCTGAACCAGACTCGCCAAATGAGGGGCCGTGTTTAAGATAGATGATGACATAGCATTGCCAAATGCCAAATGAGGGGGCATGTTCAAGAATATGGGGAACCGGAGTCGCCAAATGAGGGGACGTGTTTGAGATAGATGATGAACCGGAATCGCCAAATGGGGAGGGGTGTTTAAGCTATATAGGGAACCGGCATCGCCAAACGAGGTGGCGCGTTCAAGATATATGTTGAACCGGAATCGGCAAATCAGGTGGCATTCTCAAGATATACGATAGTTAGGCCGGAATCGCCAAATGAGGGGGGGCGTGCTTAGAATAGATGAAGTACCATCGCCAAATGAGGGGACGTTTTTGAAATAGATGTTGAACCGGAATCGCCGAAGCAGGCGGCACGTTTCAGAACATGGGGAGCAGAATCGCCAAACGAGATGTCGTGTTCAAGATAGGTGTTGAACCGGAGTCGCCAAATGAGGCTGCGTTTTTAAGATATACGATAGGCCGCAATCGCCAAATGAGGGGGCGTGTTCAAGAATATGGGGAGCCGGAATCGCCACATGAGGGGGCGTGTTTAAGATTTATGTTAAACCGGAGTCGCCAAATGAGGGGCCGTGTTTAAGATAGATGAAGCAGCATCGCCAAACGAGAGGGCGTGGTTAGCTAAGATATACGATGAAGTAGCATCGCCAAGTGAGGGGGCGTGATAAAGACACATTTTGAGCCGGAATCGCCAAACGAGAGGTCGTGTTTGAGATATATGATGAGCCGGCATCGTCAATTGAGGGGGCGTGTTGAAGAATATGGAGAAGCGGAATCGCCAAACGAGGTGTCGTGTTAAAGACACATGATGAAGTAGCATCGCCAAATGCCAAATGAGGGGGGCGTAATTAAAATAGATGTTGAGCCGGAATCGCCAAAGGAGGGGGGGGGGAGGGGTGGGGCTAAAAATGTGGGGAACCGGAATCGCCAAACGAGGGGGTGTTCAACATCTAGAATCGCCAAATGAGCGGGCGTGTTTAAGATAGATGATGAAGTAGCATCGCCAAATGATGGCGTGCTTCTAAGAATGTGGGGAACCGGAATCGCCAAACGAGGGGGCGTGTTAAAGGTAGATGATGACGTAGCATCGCCAAATGCTAAACTGAGGGGGCTTGTTTAAGATATATGATGAGCCGGAGTCGCCAAATGAGGGGGCGTGTTTAAGATATATGTTGAACCGGAATCGCCCAAGGAGGGAGCGTGTTGCGTGTTGCATCGCCACATGAGGGGGCGTGTTTAAGATATATCTTGAACTGAAATCTTTGCCAAATGAGGGGGCGCGGGCGTGTTTAAGATATATGATTAACCGCAATCGCCAAATGAGGGGGCGTGTTTAAGATATACGATAATCATCCGGACTCGCCAAACGAGGGGGCGTGTTCAAGGTATATCTTGAACCGGAATCGCCAAAGGAGCGGTTATGCCTAAGATATATGAAGAACCGGCATCACAAGTGTTTTTCGCCGACAAGGGTTGCAAATTCTTTTGTCAGAGAAGTCACAAGGCGGAGAAGTCACAAGCATTCGAAGCACTTTTGCCGAGATTTGCTGCAAATTCGTGTGTCAGAGAAGTTAAACAAGTGAGCCAAAATGAAAGTCAAACGTGAGCCGCCTCCCGGGCAAGGCTTGAGAAGTCACAAGTGAGACAACTAGAAGTCACAAGTCAGCGGCCCCCTGTGCCTTTTGGGGGGTTCCTTATCGGAACTATAGTATAAAAGGTTATTCTAATTTTTAGACTGCAACATTACCTGAGAGGTCGGTCCTTGCTTTGCCAACTTCCAAGTAGCTGTGGCCCAAAGGCTCCTTGCTATTGTTATGGGGGATACTGATTCTTGCTAATGAAACCCTACATTCTCACTTGGGACCCTTTGGGTGGTGGAAGGTTTGAGAGCAGCTCTTTTTTTGTTTCTGCTGCCAGTACCTGATTTATCGTGTAATCTCTAGGAGACGTCATGGAAGACGGTCACAGGGTTAAGTTTGAAAGCTGCAAGCAATCCTTCCCAAAAGCCAACTAGCGATGCAAAATGCCAGCTTTCGACTCTGCGCTGCTTGTTCCGAATTCGGCATGCTGCTGACTGCCGCAACCCTATGCAAAGCACAAGTAAGCTTAAATACTTCATGGTCTTACTGCAGAATCTGTATGCGCCTGAACCGACCTGCGCATAGTGTGACAAAGCATAGGGGGCACATTTCAACAGAGCTCATTGATTTCCTTACGAGTTCGGGTTTGCAATTGCTCGGTGACTCGGTGAACACTACTCAAAGCCTAGGAGCGAGAACGCAGGGTCCGTTTGGCGCAGCTCCGTGGGAGATTTTGAAGGCTATTGCAGCAGGAACAGCGTGTACCGTCGAGTGGAAGCGGGCTATGGTGCCGACCGCCCTGTTACCTTCATCGAGGGCTACACCTCGTCAGGCTTCACCTTCGGTAACGTGCTACCCCCGACCCACAGCATGTGCTCCGTCAGTCGCTACAGCAGAGATCGAGATGGTGGGTCCCACAGAGGCCGGATCTTGCAATCCAAGCACGGCAGGAATTGGTTACATGGCCATTGGTCAAACAAGGCGGGTGTCATCCACTACAAAACTTGGGTCACATCGAAGGACAGGCACCCGAATGTGCTCGATTGGCTGGTACTGTGCAGTACCAACGGCGCGACACGTGCCTTCGATGGCATGTCTTCGGGCACCCCGACCAACATTGCGACCAAAGCGCCGAAAAAGTTCACCGACACAATACCTCTGTACGTCAACCATGGCTACGACGAAAAGTCTGATTTCGCAGTCATGGAGGTGATCACCTGGGACAGGGTGTTGTCAGAGGAGGAGATGCTGGCCACTGTCGATTACTTGAAGTGGAAGTTGAGGGCAGGAGCCGTGCTTGAGGCATCGGAACACCTTGCCACAGAATCCCAGCACAACTTGGATTCGTGGGGCGTTCAAGACTTAAACAATCTCGAGTCCAAGACGACCGAGGTCACTCTTGCCAACAACTACAAAGCAGACCTGGCAGGCTGGACACACACTCGATACTATGCACGGGGCTTCATCACAAACAAAAACGGCGTATCCACGGCCGTCGTGAAAGGCTTGACACCCGCAGCACAGTACATATACCAGATCTACATGGTACATGAGTTGTCCAACTGGCTGGGTGAAGCCAAGGTGTCCGTGAACCACGGGGTGCAGGCGCGAGCCAAGCAGAATGGCTTGAACGAGGCCAAGTTCTCCGGGGTAGCAGTGGCATCGCCCAGAGGCGAGATCAATTTCGAGTTCGAGCGCATCTCCCCACATTGCCAGCTCAGCAGCATCGCCATCGCAAAAGTAGGGCCAAGCAGTGTTGTCAAGCCTGCGGACCCACCATCGCAGGGCATGTATGCCTGGTTTAAGCTCCTCGCCTGAACTAATAAAACAGCTGTGGAAGTGTTGGAGTCGTTCCGGCAAGATTTTGATGTACCAAGTGTTTCTCATGTCCGTTTATAGAACCAGTGTTAAAGCGAAGAGTCCCAACGAAGGAGCGAGAACGCAGGGTCCGTTTGGCGCAGCTCTGTTGGAGACTTTGAGGCATATTGCAGCAGGAACACCGTGTACCGGCGCGTTGCGGCCGGTAATGGTGCCGACCGCCCTGTTACCTTCATCCAGGGCTACACATGGTCCGGTTTCACCTTCGGTGATGTGCTTCCCCCGACCCACAGCGTGTGCTCCATAACGCGCTATGCCGGTTCGAACAGAGGCCGGATCTTGCAATCCAAGCACGGCAGGAATTGGTTACATGGCCATTGGTCCAACAAGGCGGGTGTCATCCACTACAATACTTGGGTCACATCGAAGGACAGGCACCCGAATGTGCTCGATTGGTTGGTACTGTGCAGTACCAACGGTGCGACACGTGCCTTCGATGGCATGTCTTCGGGCACCCCGACCAACATTGCGACCAAAGTACCGAAAAAGTTCACCGACACAATACCTCTGTACGTCAACCATGGCTACGACGAAAAGTCTGATTTCGCAGTCATGGAGGTGATCACCTGGGACAGGGTGTTGTCAGAGGAGGAGATGCTGGCCACTGTCGATTACTTGAAGTGGAAGTTGAGGGCAGGAGCCGTGCTTGAGGCATCGGAACACCTTGCCACAGAATCCCAGCACAACTTGGATTCGTGGGGCGTTCAAGACTTAAACAATCTCGAGTCCAAGACGACCGAGGTCACTCTTGCCAACAACTACAAAGCAGACCTGGCAGGCTGGACACACACTCGATACTATGCACGGGGCTTCATCACAAACAAAAACGGCGTATCCACGGCCGTCGTGAAAGGCTTGACACCCGCAGCACAGTACATATACCAGATCTACATGGTACATGAGTTGTCCAACTGGCAAGGTGAAGCCAAGGTGTCCGTGAACCACGGGGTGCAGGCACGAGCCAAGCAGAATGCCTTCAACGAGGCCAAGTTCGCCGGGGTGGCAGTGGCATCGCCCAGAGGCGAGATCAATTTCGAGTTCGAGCGCGTCTCCCCGCATTGCCAGCTCAGCAGCATCGCCGTTGCAAAGGTGATAGGCACAACAGCGGGCGTTCTGCAGCAGGCCGGACCGGCTCCAGTGTCCCAAACTCTCACCAGCCGGACCTAGACTCTAGCACATCAATATCTTGTTATCGATCCCTTCCGCGTCGCAGAAGACCGCCATTGGCTATGCCCTGAGCCCCGTGTCAGTAGTCCCATGCTGCAATGTGTTTGAAAGTTCCATTCCGATTCTGAAGGCCATATTGTCGCGAAGCCCCAAGCCAGTCATGACAAGTCCCTGCCTGTCTGGTGCGAGTCTGAGACTCGAACCTTCATATTGAACCCCAAGCGCAAGCACAATTCAGCACGTCTTGGAGCGTAGCGTCTACATCGTGAAGCCGTGCCTGCGTCGAGTGAGTGTGCGAGTCGAAACCTACAAGTGGCCCCGGGGGGGTTTACATCCTAAATCTGTTTGGGAGAATGGTTTCAGGTTCCTACGTGATTCCTTGGCGGATTAGTTCGTTGTTGTGCAATTCCGTCCCCCACCTGCCTGAGTGGCCTGTTGTCGGACTTGTCGCCTGGAATCCGTGCCTGCCTTGTGCGAGAGTGAGAGTCGAACCCGCGAACACACACAGTCTGGGCGACACTGGATGTAGGGCAACAAGCAACAGCAGCAGAGTGTAAATACTTGAAGCCTGCATCCCTTCGAAATCTAGGAGTAGCAGCTAAAGCTGTTTTGGGGATCCTGCAAAATCAGAACCAGGTCAGTGCTTACGGTTTGTCACTGGGGCTTGTTGGCTTTGGGGAGGTAGTTGCAGTGTTTGTTGCGACTTTTGTCCCCAGGGCTTCGGGCGTTTCGGCCCTGTAGTCAAGTCTGACATGAGCGGTCTACTTGGAGGATCATGAGTAGTTATAAGTAGGGCTATAAGTAGGGTAACTATACTCATAACCCATTTTAGGGGACTTATAACCCTACGTATAACTACCCATCAACCTCCAAGTAGGCATCGAATACTGCAGCTGCAAGCTGGTTTTCTGGGGAGCTTTGGGTTCGCATCATCGCTTGTGATCAGCATCGAAATGGGAGCTTCCGCAAATAGGGGGTACCTTATGTTGGGGTCCTTATAACAAGGATCCTACTATTTAGGGTGCTGTGTTAGGGTCCCCTATTTTCGGAAACTCCCATATGCATTCTCATCCGTTGTCTTGATGCTTACTGTGCAGGTTTCCGCCGCCGCCGCGGTGCAGACGCAAGGTGTCTTCGCCATTAGGATTCGGCTGTGCAGGTTTTCCTCCAAACAGTATACACAGGATCTCCTGGAAAAGCCGTCTCCCGAAGATCGCCAGTCTCAGTGCAAGTTCTAGTAATTACAAAAGGGGCCTAAATAGTTGCCGATACTATTTTGGGAGCTCTTTTTTATCATTTATAGTATAATGGGCACCAAAACCCTATGCTGATTAATAAGGCCCCGATATTGATCTAACTTCTGCTTCAGGGCATGTTTTCTATTTTGCCGCCCGACGAAACAGATTCAACAAAGCCCTTGCCCAAAGCAGTTGACGCACTGGTTGCATACATTCCAGTCATCACCACGCGGAGTTTCAATTGTCAGTTTCTAAGTCGCTTTAGCAAGCAAAAAGCCTACTTTCAAGACTCCTAGACGTGGTCCTGCTTGTACTGTGCAGCTCTTGAGGATCCGTTTCTCCTTGCCTCGTGCACCGCCCACAACCGACGGACTCCAATATCCTTTAATTAAGGAATATACCTTAATTCATATTAGGGATCCTACTATATTTCACGGTATATTCCTTAATTAAGGGATATTGGAGCCTCTGGGAACCCTAAGCCCTAAAACCTCGAGGATTCGCTTCTAGTGGCTTCATGTACCTACACCTCTACCAGCAGTGCGACACCATACTTCTCCTCGGAGGCTTTGCTGCTCGGGGTTAGGGGCCCAAGACACTACAGGGGCTTTGAGCCTACGTTAGGACTAGCTTTGTAGTATGCAGTGAGGGACCTCGTTTGTTTGGGGTCTAGCTCCTCTTTTCTAAAAGATGGTGGCCATTGTGTGTGCGTGTGTCTTGATGTGCAGTCAATGCTGGTTCTCAGAGCATTGCGGAATTTATTTGACCGTGGTCTGGGTTATACCTCAAGCTCCGTGGAATACTCGATCTCCGCAGCTGCAACACTAAAACCACAGACCATTCCCGAAGCTCCAACACATCGTGTCGTAGTGGGGCAGCAGCCAACCCAACAGAAGACGTCTAACCGTAAGTTGAGGAGCCAGAAAACCCAGGTGAACACACCGCACACCTCCTGTAGTCCCTGAGAAGCCGTATAGAATGCAGGTCCGTGTTAGAGTCATGCGGATCTTTGATCTATGGGTAAGTTTGCTAGGTTTTGTGTTTGGTAGGTGCAGGAGTAACAAACATATCATGGCTGGTCGTGGCTCCTGCAAAGAACATTGGTCAACGGGCAGAGAATGCATTGGTCCCACACGTTTGTCGTGTAGGGTCTTGGGCTTTGGACGTGAACCTCTTTGGACTTTGGTTCAGGGGGTTGGATCAGAGGTTGGCTAGGTTCGCAGCCCTACAGTATAGATGCATACTCCGTGTGCTAGATTGGCGAGGAAAAGGCCCCACAAAGAAGCAAGGAAAGAGTTTCAGGCTTCGGTTTAACTAATTACAATACGGGGTTGCTTTGCATGGGCCGTTTAAAAGAAGGGGTCTTAAAGCAGTGGGCCCACTAGGCTTTAGGGTTCAGGGAACTAGGCCATCCCCCTGCTCACCACAGCTTTTGCAGGCATGGGTGTGGAGCAGTGCGGAAGGCCCAGCCACAGAGAGATCGACTCGCACGACTGGCAACACAAGAGGCCCCCCGAACCCATTTGGAGTCCAGGGCCCAAGGTTGGAAAGCTGGCTTTGTGTGAGGGTTTGCGTTATCATAGAGTTCAGTCTCTTCTCTGAGTCGTCGCGGTTGAAAACACAACGAGTAGGAATTGGGCAGAGGATTGCACAGAGTTTGGGGGTTCTGTATCGTTTGAAAAGAGGTATGAGACTACAGCATGCGTGGGATAACTGCATGTGCATATCTATCTATTTATATTATATGTATAATGTATATTATATTATATACATGCATTTCGAACATATACATACATGCAAACACCCGTACATGTTCGTCTATGGATATATACACACATACACGTTACACACACATATATACACATATATATATATATATGTATAGTTTATAGAGACACAGAGACAGAGGGAGAGAGAGAGAGACAGAGAGGGAGAGAGAGAGAGAGCGAGAGAGAGAGAGAGAGAGAGAAAGAGACTGAGACTGGGCATCTATATGTATATATATATATATATATGTATATGTATATTTGCTTTTATACCTTGGCTCACATGTGCTGGTGTGTACACCTGTGCGAGTGCTTGCACATGCGCCCACGGGTGCGAGCATCGCACTCTCGCGCTATCTACCTGCCTTGGTCTATCATTTGGTACAAGTGATTTCACTCTATTCCCATACCTAGTTTCATTTCTGTCACATAATGTCAGAGAGAAACACAAACGCACACACACACACACAGACACACACACACACACGCATGCACACACGTACACACACACACACACACCCACACACCACACGCACACACACACACACACACACACAGACACACACACGCACACACACACACACACACAAGCGCACACACATAGACACTACACACACACACACACACACGCGCGCGCGCGCGCGTGCGCTCACACTTGCACACAGAACAACAGACTTTCTGGAGGCGGTGGTTTTGAAGCACGTGAAAAAGCCGTAGGTTCCGTTTTTCGGTTGGGACCTTCTTGGAATGACAATGTTCCGTCCTTCATGAGGACATTGAGAACAACACGCAGCCAGAAATCCCGTCAGAAAAGGGACATACCTGTACTCTCTAGAAGCATCTCATCCCCAAGTTAAATAGTAATGCGCTCTACGTTCATGCCTTGAAGTCTGCAACTTGAGCCGCTAGAAGTCTGAAGCCAGCAGAGCTTTGCTGCTGCCCTGAGTCCAGCTGAACACACCTACGGCGGGCAGTCTGCTACCATCAGACTGTTCGGAGGGGCTTGAAATCCGAGAGCCCAACAGCTGAGGATGTAGATCCAATCACCCTAAGGCCGTTGCCGCCAGCTTTCCAGCACCTTGTCCAGACCGGCCTGCTTTACGGGACTGAGGTTCAGGACATTGATGTGATGGGGCTTTAGTTCGAAGCTCGAGCTTTACTTGCAAGCTACATCTTGAGCCATTAGCTCCGCGACAGCCCGCGACCAACACCTGCATTCCCTTGCGTTTGCCACGTGCCATCGTGAACAGTAGGGTCATCCCAGTCCCAGGACTGATGCTCCTAGACGTTTTCAGATCAATAGGGTTGCAGTAGGCCCCAGGTTCGTTCGGAGAACCGTGCTGTAATGTTTGTGGTGTGTGTGCGGCGTGATTTCGGATGGCAGTTACGACAGGCCGGAAGGGCGAACCTCTAAATGCTGCTGTATTAGCCCTTTTCTATGCACACCGTTCTCGCATTAGCGCGGGGCAACACAGGCAAATTTGGTATCTTACCGTAAGCGATCGCTCGCGCGGAGTTTTTGCGGATACTGCAAGACTACGACTGCATTGTGCTCTCGACAGTTAAAATTGAAGTAATTCCAACACAAAGGCTTGCACGCATGGCTATGTGGTCGCGAGAGCACAACCCCCAAAAGCGGAAACCTTTTCTCCGTCAGGTGGTTCTCACTCTGCGGCAGTACATGTGCTAGAACATATAATGCAGCCAAAGCCACATGAATTGGGTCCAGATGTGCTCCAGCCTTGCGGTTTATTTAGCGGCGGCAATGTCCTGGTCTCGGAGGCACGGAACTCTCCTGATGGCTTCATGCTGGAGTGAGCGGTACAGGCTTTTGCGACAGAACCGTCTCTCTGACACAGAGACTGGGCTTGGGGTTAACAAAGGCCTGTTGTCTGTGTGCCCGCAAGTACTTAAAAGTGATTCGGGGGTTCTTGGAAGACCTTGGTCGGACTTAGCCGCATGGTGTGGGCTTCACGGCCTTGAAGTCTAAAAGTCTGCAAAGAAGAGCCAAGGAACGATTGCAGTGTGTCAACGGGGATTGGTACAACAGCTCCTGGGCACAAGGGATGTACTTCCTTTTTACAGGGCGTTGGGCTTCAGCGTTATGGCGGCGTTGAGCCTCAAGGGCTTTGGGGAGATAACTGAGCCATCGGAGTGACATGGCTTTTTGTCTGTTACTGACGTTTTGGACGAAGGAACCTTGGTGCCCAAACGTGGTAAAGTCTTTGAGCAACCCAGGAGAGTCCTTCTCTCGGCCGCTGAGAATCAGCAATAAACGCCCTTGTCGGACAATAAAAACCTGGGAAAACTGCGGCTAGGAAGACTTTTGGTAGGCCCTGTGAAAGTCCTCATGTTTACCCGTTTTCGGCCCATGTAAATTCTGCTCAAGGCCGCCCCAGACCCAACTGGGATCCCAAAGCCCTGGACAACAAGCACCGCCTGCCACGAGCTGCTCAGAAGTGAAATCGACTCCAAAGGCCCCCAAGAACCTCCTAGAATCCGAGGATTATTACCATCAGTAGTAGTAGTAGTAGTAGTAGTAGTAGTAGTAGTAGTAGTAGTAGTAGTAGTAGTAGTAGTAGTAGTAGTAGTAGTTGTTGTAGTTGTAGTTGTAGTTGTTGTTGTTGTTGTTGTAGCTGTATTAGTAGTTGTAGTAGTAGTAGTAGTAGTAGTAGTAGTAGTAGTAGTAGTAGCAGTAGTAGTTGTAGTAGTAGTTGCAGTAGTAGCAGTAGTAGTAGTAGTAGTAGTAGTAGTAGTAGTAGTTGTTGTTGTAGTTGTTGTTGTTGTAGTTGTAGTAGTAGCTGTATTAGTAGTTGTAGTAGTAGTTGCAGTAGTAGTTGTAGTAGTAGTTGCAGTAGTAGCAGTAGTAGTAGTAGTAGTAGTAGTAGTAGTAGTAGTAGTAGTTGTAGTAGTAGTGGTAGTAGTAGTAGTTTACTACTAACTATTAGTATTATTCATATTGTTTTTTATTAGTATTGCTATTATTTTTAGTATTGGTATTATCATTATTACTGTTATTATTAGTATTATTATTATTATTGGTATTAGTGTTATACTTAGGGAAGCACCTCCCTGGCTTCCCCTAGAAACCCTGAAGCCGAGGCCTTGGGAAGCCAGGGCTCAACGGTCTGGCTTGCGAAGCATGCATGCAGGTGCAACGCCGGGATGTTTTTATGTCTACAATACTAAAAATATATAACAAAATGGCAACTTTCAAAAAGAATAAGAACCAATAATAATAATGACAATAATTGCAATAATAACAGCAATCATACTAGTATTAGCAAAAACAATGATAATAACAATAACAATCGGACCTTTATGATCCAATAACACGGTTGTTGTGGCTTCGGAGTCCTCCTATCTCAGCTTTTTGTTGCCGCTGTTTGGTTGCTTGGTTTTTAGGTGGGCACTTACAGGTTGTTTCTGTTTGCGATTTAGCATGTTTCGGTACGCTTGCAGCTGATTTTAAAAGCACTGATAGTGGTGCCCGAAGGTTCGGACGTGGAGTGTGGAGTCTAGGACTGGCGATTGTGCGGATCATGGGAAGTTTCGGCTGTGCGTTCGGCTTCTCGGTACGGGAACTTCGGAGAACACAATACTTCTAATGGACACAGAGGCCTTATAGTTATCAGTATTATTCGGCTTCCCGATTGCTTTGGGATTTTGAAAGGTAGGTGTGCTTTCAGCACGGAAGTTCCTGGGTTCTCTGATCAAGTCGGAAAACTAACAAACGTGATAGAAGCCCGCTCACCCCCTCCCTACCCTGCTTCCCTCGGAGCCTTCCGATAGAAGCCCGCTCACCCCCTCCCTACCCTGCTTCCCTCGGAGCCTTCCGCAAGAGAGAGCACAGGTTCGTCTTCATTGCTTAGGGTCTCAAGTTGACCAGCGCAGCACTTGATCAATCTCGTTGCATCCTTTGGGACCATTTTGCGGAAGCCCAGTTTTACAAACAGAACATCCACAGAGCTGCTGCCGGGTTCCAGCGCTTCCAGTAGCCACAGAGATACCAGCGCCATGCGTCAAACTCTCCGACTTCCCTTTTCTTGTACCTTCTACCTGAAGCTACCAAAACCTACTTTTCTGTAGGGTCCCTTTGAATTCCATATTAAGGTTCATAAGAAGAACCTACAAAAAAGTAGGGTTTGGTAGGTTCAGGTAGGCTCAACTCCTGAAACTGCCCTCAGCCTGGTTGCCCTGGCGCCTGTCTCATCAAAGTCGCGGAATCCAAAAAACCGCAGCAGTGAAGTAGCCAGTCCATCCTCCCACCAGTTGCATGTCTTAATCTGAGTTCATTTGGGAGTTTCCGAAAATAGGGGACCCTAATATAGTACCCTAAATAGTAGGATCCTTATTTTAAGGGCCCCAAAATAAGGTACCCCTAATTTTCGGAAACTCCCATATAACAGGTCGGAGCTCGAGGTTACGCGGCCTACGACGAGCGGAACGAGCAGGTGCGCCGGGGTTAGGAGCATAGCATTTTCCAGGATTAGTGAGCTTTTTGCATTGCAGACTTTACAGGATTTCGCAAGTTCTGCGCTGGTGAGGGCTTGGGCGATTCGGGGGAATCATTAAATTGTGCAGACCGAAGCGCTTGACCCTGTTGAGTTGTGGCGTTTCACGACACGTCGGACGAACACTCCCTTAAGAATTCGAGATTCATTCAGTTCGGGCAGCGGAAACTCCAACTACAAAGACTAAATAAATCTGAATGCCTCTATCGCCCTCGACCTCTATGGAGCTGATAGCCCTGTAAACCCGGCTGCGTCGAGGCTGAGGGTTTGTTCTTGGTTTCGAAGACTGTTGACAAAGGTTGGTCTTCAAACCGGCCCACCTGGATGAAGTTTGCTATGTCCTTCTCCTGATATAAGCCTGCTGACTACGTCTTGAAGCACGAGATTCTGGATGCCCGACTTTCATGTAAGCATGACTTTATGGCTGACACGGAGCCACGAGCCTCATCAGGGCCTGCTGTGCAGGGTTCTGGGTTTAGGGGGTCCAAGTAAAACCGAGGAGATGTAGTTCGTCAAGCATGAATGTATCCAAGAAAAGTGGCGGCGCTCATACAGCTAGAAAACTTCAGGAACACTTAAGCAGGACTCCCTCAAAATGCCGCCCTAATGCCCCTATAAACCCGGAACCCGAAACCATGGGCAAGCTTTCTGAAGGAGCTCTACTTCTTCAACCGAATGGCCCTGAGCATCTACACCGAGCTCGGCATGGTCAAGGAACTTAAGGGTACTTAGAAATACTTGTTTTAATCTTTGGTTCCTTTTATCCCTAAGAAACAGCTAAAACTGTAATTTTTGCTAGGGTTCTAAGTTCAGTGTAGGGAAGTGCTCATATCTTTCAGGTTTGGGTTTAAGGGCACAGGGGCGTAGAGTTCAAGGGTATGTGGTTAAAGGGTTTAGGGCTTAAGGGGAATAGACTTATCATTGCTATTCATGCTGACCGTGATACAAGTCCTGTCCTGTTCATTGCCGGCTTTCTTATTTTGCTGCTACTCGTGATAAGTCTTATCTTGGCAGGGTTTGTTCGATTTTGGCGAACAGGACTGCTCAAGATAATATCATCGCAGAGTAGGTTCCTTATTATAGTTCTCGTATAATATGCTCCAGAACCCTATTGCAATTATTCAGGCCCCAATATGGGAGTTTCCGAAAATAGGGGACCTTAATTTTGTACCCTAAATAGTAGGATCCTTATTATAAGGACCCCAAAATAAGGTAACCCTAATTTTCGGAAACTCCCATATTGGTTTCTACAAGGATTTGTTCATGACCCCTCCGAATGCCACGGGGTCGATCGTTAGAGCTGCATTCCCCTCTTCCTGTTCAGGTGCAGTAGCTACCTGTGGCCGAAAAGACCTACCTTTTGGGGGTTCCTTATTATGGTTTCTACATATAGTTCCTTAAAAAGGTAGGTCTTTTCGGGTACAGGTATGCCATGCTATTTCGTTTTGCGCAGCATCTGAAAGCTTCGCGCCTTCGACGCTTCAGGGCACGCTCTTCGACGATTTTGAAACACGATCCAACAAACAATGCTTGCCTGATGACGATGGTTCGAGTATTGGATGCAGTCCCGCAGTGCTATCGTGCTAATTTGGTAGTCAGAATGCAAGGAGCTGGATGTGCATGCCAAGCACAAGTACTGCCTGCAGCCATCCGGTGACGGGCAACTCAGATCAGCTTACAGTTTCATTGCTCTGCCGCCCCACGACTATGTCCCTCACATGGGCATGCAAAATGTTAAACAATGTTTAGGAATTGTAGGAGCTTCCATGCTTGCGGGTTTGGTCTTGCGAATGCTTGACCTGAGGGTGATCGCTGTAGCCTATTGAACGGCCTTCTGCACTAGAGAAGTGAGAGAGAGAGAGAGAGAGAGAGAGAGAGAGAGAGACAGAGAGATACATATGCACATAGATGTTTGTTAATGACATAGTATAGACAAGATGCAAAGAGAGACATGTAGAAGGACGGATGGACACACACGGGTTGGCGCAAGAGGGTTGCGAACGAAACACCAGCAACTAGCATTTTCTTGGTACTCTAGACACCGGTCCAGCAGCACCACCGGGCTGGCCCTTGGAACCAAACACATGTTGAAGGTGACAGTCGAGGGTTAAGGGGGCCTTCCGGCTGCTAGGGGCTTTAGAGGTTTCAGGGTTTTACGGCTTTAGGGTTCTCGGATGCGGGATCTTGGAGCTCGACGGCCTTTGGGGGCGATCTGGGTTTTCATAGGCTTGCATCTGAGCTGACCTTCAGGGTTGATTGAGTTCACAATTGTACGGTTCAGGGTTGAGGGTACATGTACTATGGCTCGAAGATAACTTTGACATGCGCACGATCCTCGAGTATCTGCTTCGCAAGATTTAAGAGCATCATCAAAATAGGAAACGGCATTCCCCAAAGCCAAGACGTGTCAAGTCCGAGCCCAGGAATATGACGGTCCAAGCAAGCAATGCTTGCCCTGAGCGTTTGGTTGCGCAGGCGCCTTCAGTGCTCTTACTTGGAGGTTACGGGGTAGTTAGAAGTGGGGTTAGAAGTCCGCTAATATGGGTTAAAAGTACAGGTACCCTACTTATAACCTTACTTATAACTACCCATGAACCTCCAAGCATGGAGTTGAACAGCAGAATATGACAGAAGGACAGGACATCGTGTTCCATTCTCGGGTGGCCGCTATACAGGATCGCACCGTGGAGTTTGTGCAACTCGAGCCGTTGCGCGGGTTGTTGTCTACACAAATCCCCAGCCCTCTTAGCTTGGAAATCAGTGCTTCACGCCCGAAAGCCTGATTTAACCCGTACGGAAATCGTTGCAGAACTTTAACCAGGGAAACAGTAGCACACGGCAAAAAACAGTAGTGATCGTATAATTTGGGGTTAGGGTTTATAGATAGTGCTTGGTAGTAGCCCTAAACCCCTAACCCTAAATCCTAAGACTCGTCGATTTCATGCTTGCCCATTGATCCGATAGAAGCTGAGTGTCAACCCGACTCCGGATGACGATCGAGGCAGAGACAGACACAAGTGCTTGTAATGAACGTACCTATGCTGTTGTTGCCAGTGCTCTTATTCTGTATTGCTGTTTAGCAGCCTGCATATTTCTTTCCCGACAAAAGTTTCCAAGGCACGCTGAGCTAGTTAATGAGCAGTTCTAAGCCCAAGGTCCAGTCCACAGTCACTTGAATGAAGAAGCCTAGCACTTGTGTCCCTAGATGCTTTTCAGGTGTGAGCCTCCCCATAAAAATCCCGACCTGCACTCTCTACACCTCAAAGCGCATTAACCCTCTATACCCCCCTCCCCCCCGCAGCTCCCATCCCAAGCTCTCGCTCAACACCCAACCTCGAGTACCCCTAGATACTAAGCCACAAGGATCCTAAACCCTAAACCCAAGACCAGAAGGATCAGAAGATCCTAAACAGTAAGGATCCTAAACCCTAAACCCAAAACAATAAGGATCCTAAGCTTCAAACCCAAAGCCATGAGCATGCCACACTCCTTTATCCCAGGACTCGAAAGTAAGTCCTAAACCTCTAAACCCTAAACCCCTAACCCTAAATCCTTTAAACCCCTAAACCCCTTAAACCCCTATCCTAGACTCCTTTAACCCAAGACTCCACACAAAGAGGTCACAGGCTGGGCGGGCCCGGAAGCCCGGCTCTTCAAGCTGCTTCCTGTCACAGAGGTTCGGCATCCGACCGGGTAATTGAGGGGTTTAGGGCTTATAGGGTTTATAGGGTTTAGGGTTTAGGGTTGCCTTATAGGCTTATGACCCCTATGTAGAAACAGCTGCTTCCTGTCACAGAGGTTCGTTGAAGGGCCTTGGGACTTTCGGGGGCGGGGTTCTTAGGATTCTGGGTTTTAGGGTTTAGGGTTTAAGGGTTTTGGGTTTGGGCTTGGATTGTGTGCCAGCAAAAACTCCTCAACAGCAGGGCCTGGCACACAATCCAAGCCCATGCTGAAAAAGGGTTTTGCGTTTAAGGGTTTAGGGTTTAAGTTACGGGTCGGATTCCTGAAAGCTCTAAGCTTCAAGTTCCCGTGTAGACTTCTAGCCTGCATGTACAATCACGACAAAACACACATCTCCTGCCCACCCTGAAGACTCGTGTTTCGTGGATGAGGCATGTCGAAAAAGGTGTTTGCAACCCTGTTTCAGGTCCATGACCGCGGTTTGGCTGTTGTTAACATGTTATCGGGGCCTCGTGGCGACCGAGTCTCACGCCATTTCTTCCAAGCGAGATGGGCTAGCATGGCCTGTCTTGGTGTTTGCAAAGTGTGGGGGGGGGGGGGGGGGGGGCAAAGGCGGACAGGCGGCCTCCCTGTTCGCTAGCACCTAAAAAGCTTAAAAGTTGTGGACACTCCCGAGGGAGTTGTGTTTTGGACCATTTGTGGGCATTGTACAGTCTCACGGTTCTTATTGTTCTTATTGCTGTTCTTGTTAATTGCATGGCTACTTCTTGTGTCGTTGATACTGTTGCGAGCCTTGTTGGTACTTGTACCGCTGTTGCATTCCTTACTGCCATCGCTGCTGTGACTTTGGTCCACTGGTTGCTGTGATTGTTTCGGTTTCTCGAGGCGGGCCGTTGCATGGCACATGTCGGCACTTGCCTTTGCGGTCTCTTCAAGACTAATGTAAGAACCTGCAAGGAGCCCCAATAAAGGTCCACGGCTTCTTAATCAGGTTCCTACATTAAGAGTGTTGGGCACTGGTGGGGTCGTCGATGATGCGTTGGCCCACGGAAGGTGTACGCACTGAAGGACTCCAAGCCCGGCACTCTCAAATCTCGAGCGAATTCTCATCTCATCTCAACTCCCAGTTGGAGGTTCAGAGGTTGTTATAAGTGGGGTCATAAGTCCCCTAATATGGGTTCTAAGTATAGTTACCCTACTTGTAACCCTACTTATATAACTACCCATGAACTTCCAAGCAATTGCTCAAGTCGGTCATCCTTATGCAGCCGCCCGGAAGGCCCTCAAAAGTATCAGCCCGAAAGTCAGGCTGGAAGGAGCCTGCGTATTTTAAAAATGTTAGAGCCCTCGAAGCCTGTCAAAAACAGACTGCAGGACGCCGAGCAGTGCTTGAGCACGAAGGGTGATACCTCTGGGCTCATGCACACGAACTGCAATGCGAATCTCGGATGTCTTCAGATGGGCACTGATATATCATTAGGTTTGCTTTGGCAGGTTTTGGATTTAGCATGGCTCTCTTGCTTGAGATGCTTCAGATGCTTTTGAAGTGTTTCCTAAGAAGCGGATCTCCAAACACGGATCCGATGATTTGCGACATACGTTTGCAGGGGATCCTCGTATCAACTCCTAGGATCTAGGATTATCCACCGTTTATGATTTGGGGTTTCTGATCCTTAGCTCTTTGGACCGGATGCCGCGATGGAGCCGGCAAAGGTGCTCAAAGTCTTTGGACTTTTAGTCAAGTGAGCCCTACACCTTTAAATCTAAATCCAGCAACCTTCACCTAGAACCACAAAACCGCCCTCAAACCCTGTAGAGTGCCCTCAAACTCCAAAGCACTGAGACCCCCCCCCACCACCACCCCCCTAAACGCTACACCCCAACCCAAAACCCGAAAGCCCTGACGGACAAGGACGGATTCGGCACAGCACCTAGAGCCAGCAGAGCTGCCCCTTTGCCGAAGGGATCAGCATGGTAACTAATTTCCCAAAATAGGGGCCTTAATAATTAGAACAGGGTCCCTTTACAGGGGTCCTAAAAGGGACCTATAAGGGTACTATAATATGGATAGAGGCCTTAATAATTACCAATACTATTTTGGTAGTTCCTTCCTATAATTCTAGTAGAATGGCCCCAAAATTTCTAGTTATTCAGGCCAATATGTTTCGGATACCAGAGCGACCATGAACATCATGGACCATGCCTGATCCTCATGATGAAGGTCTTCCTTAGCCGAAGTGTTCTGACGCTTTCTGTTTTGAGCATCCGCGCTACTACTGTGCAGCTGCCTCTCCTTTCAGGGCCCTTACTATAATTGTAGTATAATGGGCCCCAAAACCCTAGTCTAGTTATCAAGGCCCCTATATTGGGATACCAGAGCGACCATAAACATAAGGTGTGGGCTTGCGGGCTATGGGTTCTTGGAGCTTAGGCCTCTCCATGCTGAGGGGGGCGGCTTCTCTGCCCTCTGCCCATTCCAACCCATCCCTGTCGCACCTACCCTGAGCCCACACTGCCTACTGTCTTCTGCAGCTGACTTTAATGTTGCAGTTGCATGAACTTCCCCACGATTGACAGGGTCAGGGTTCTTTAATCACGTTCCTACATTAGGTTTAGAGCTCAGAATATATGCCATGATCGTCGAAAAAGGCCTACTGACATGTGGGACCTCCACATCGAGGCGGACGAGCGCACACAGGCGCCTTGGACAATCGATCAGGGTTTACGGAAACCCAAAGCCCGCAACCAACGCCCCAAACCCCAGGCCCTACATCCCAAGCTTACCCAGCCCCAAGAGCCGCCAACACGTCGTAAAGCTCGCGCCTGGCTTCTCTCCAGCTCCAAAACCTGAGACTCTCCCGGACTCCCCCTAAACCCTCTGAGTTGGGGGATGCTTCCACACTGAATCCTCTCGTGATTGCTTTTTACGCCCAGCGGGAACCCGCTTTCTCGACCTCGGCAAACGGCAAAGGGACGCTTAACACCAAAAAACCCTCTAAGCCCGGATGCCTCTAATCCCGAGGATCTCCACAAGCCCTTCTCCTCCGACTATGGGTTAGAGTTATAGCTATAGCTACTCTACTTATCACCCCTAAACGCCTGGATCCCTAAATCGCGGGAGGATCTCCACAAGCCCCGGAGTTCCTCAACCCTAAACCCCAGAGCCTGAACCCTCTCAGCCCTGAAGCTTCTTAGAATCCCTAAACTAAACCCCTAGATCCTTCTTACTCCTGCGAGGATCTCCACAAGCCCTTCTCCTCCGAATATGGGGTATAAAGTCCCTCTAAGCCCGAAGCCCTAAACCCCTAATCCCTTAATACCTAAACCCTCTACTCCCCCGAGGATCTCCACAAGCCCTTCTCCTCCTACTGCGGCACCAGCGGAGCCTTGAGCAGCCTCGACTTCGGCCAGCTTTTCGCAGGAGCCCCCGCCTTTTTGGCCCTTTTTTTTCTGGGTCCTTGTTAAGAGGTTTAAGTTCAGTTACCATAATATGTTCGGGCTCCGTTAAGGGATCTATAAGGTTTCTTTAGGGGTTTAGGGATTTAGTTCAGCCGCCTTCGGGTTTTTTAATATGCGAAGTTGTCTTACCAGTGCTTGGGTTTAGGGTCCTTCTGGGTTTAGGGTTCAGAGTCTAGGAAGTGGGCTGTTCAGGGTCTACTTGGAGGTTCACGGGCAGTTATAAGTAGGAGAACTATACTCATAACCCATATCAGGGGACATACAACCTCAGTTATAACTACCCTAACTACCCTACAAGTGTTCAAGGTCTGGGCGTTTGGCACAGGACCGCAGGGTGGACGGCGGTCGGCCGGATTGGCCATGGAGATCGAAGCTATTAGTACAAGCAGAACGGCCTTCTTACTCGAACTCAGAGTAAGGTGTAAAGGCAAACAGCATACATGGGTTTTCTTGGCTTTTTCGGTAGCTCCGGTCGGGCCGAGGCATGCTTGGTAAATATTCTGTCTTGGTGCTAGTGTCCTTCGCACAGCCTGAGCCCCGATGTGTTTTGCCGTCCGAGGAACCCTCGTAGTCCCAGAGCCTTGATGACCTGATCCTCTACGTCCCAAAGCAGAGAGCCCGAACGCCTAAGTCGCGAAACCCCAAAGGCCCCTAAAGTTTAAACCCAAATTGTCCTGCGAACTAGTTGGAAAAGAGCCCTCAAAAAAACAACAAATGGGCAGTGCCCGGAGGTGACACAGGAACCAGCCAGACGGCCTGCAAGTTCGCGCCGCTGATTCAGCAGCTTGGACTTGGTTCAGAACGCGGCTTACAACATGTTGGGTACCTGTAGTCTCCATTGTAGTTCCTTTTTTTGGTTTGCCGAAAACTGGATTACATGATCCTAACCATAAAGCTGGTTAGCCCGAAAAAGGAACTACAATGGAGACTATAGGTATATTTATTTCTCCTCAACAATCCCAAGTAATGGGTTAGCCTTCAGTTGCCCTTGATTACGGTGGTTTGCGGGCCATCGTAGTTTTCAATCTGTGGTATAGCTCAGGTCATGCTATCAAGCGCATGCTCTTATGCAGTACCCAAAAGCTCCAAAAGGCTCTGAGACTTTGCACCGCGCCCGAGTCTATAAAGACTTGGCGCCTGAAGTGCAACAGCAGAACGTGCAATCTCCGCCAGCAGACCTTAGTCTAGCAAGGGCCCTGGCAGTAGTTTCCACAACGCCAATGCGAGGTTCGGTGAGTTCGTGGATACTGGCATCGTGCGATCGAAGACCACCACGAACTGGAAGGATTGGCACCACCTCCTTGCAGAGAACTACGTGGAATGCCGCCTAGCTGGAATATGCTGGCATATAAAAAACTCGGACTTCAGCCGCATAGGCTTCAAGGGACATCGCTAGCCTACGGTAGGCGCAAGTGCATGAAAGTTAGCACTCTGGGTTGAGTGCCAGGGCAAGAACACGTGGCTTATTGCATAGCTGGGTGAAATGCCGAATTGAGATTTGCCGCTGCTTGCACGAAAAATCGAGGGGTGAGATTCTGTTGCTGACATCTCCGTGCCTGCGCAGAAAATGGCCAATCATCGCTGAAGGTCACGCACTGTAGCAATCGGTAGCATGTCCCCAGCGTTTCCCGCTTACGCCTACGACAAGGCGCAAACCTCCCCACGCTGCGAACCTGAACAGCATCGCCTGGAGAGTTCGAGTCGTGAGAGTCCAGAGATGAAGATCTGAAGGCGCATCGGGCGAAGCTTTGACGGCCTTCAAGCTGGATGCTGCCAAGCTTCCTGATTGCTGTTTCAGAGCTGAATTTGAACATGATCTGTGTGGCTTCGATCGGTCAACCATCGAACGAAACTTTGGGACATCATTCGGCGAGAATGCCTCAGTTGTAGTAGTGTGGAGAAAGAGCAAGACCTACCGCAGTCCAAGATCCAACGCCATATATGGCTATCTGGCTATCCGCAGTGGAGGATGTAAAGCAAGCCATCTTGCAGACAACCGTGCAGTATTCCAGGCATTCGGGAAAAGTAAGAAAATCTGCGAGCTTCGGGCTTCAGCGTGAAGTTTCGGGCTGCGGGGGAAAAGACACAATTCATAAATCTACCGCAAGTCTTGAGGTAGGTAGGGTTTAGGGTAGGGTTCAGGGTTTAGGGCACTCATGAATGTAGGAGCGATGTAAAGCTAAGAACCAGCCCCCAAGTTTTGGACCTTGGGGCTGGCTAAAGACCCCGGATACCCAAGAACCCAAGGGACGCAAATGCCAGGGGGTTATATGCGAGTTTCCGCAAATGAGGGGTACTTCATGTTGGTGTCCGTATAATAAGGATCCTACTATATAGGGTACTATATTAGCGCCCCCCTTTCTCGGACACCCCATATAGATGCTCGGAGTCCTCATTACGATACTGCTTGGATGTTCTCTGGTCAGGAGGAACCACAGGCAAGATAGCAGTATGAACGGTTTTGAATGAAGGGTTTTTGATGGTGCTGCTTGGCGAAGCGGCTGATGGTTACATTACATATCGAACATCTAGCAGTCGCAACAGTACCCCGAACTATCCCGAGCTCAAGCGAGACCCCTAGTGTAGGTTTCTTCTGGTTTCGTATTCGAAGCTTAGGCTTTGGGGTGACTCCTGGCTTCGGGGTAGACAACTCATTCATGGAGTTACATATCACAACGCGCAAGCAGCCCAGGAGCATCTACAAATACGAGTGCAGCAAGATTGGTATCTTGCCTGTCCCGTCACGCCTGGATTTTGGTAGGATTGCTGCAACAGGACAGAGGAGATTCTCTTTCCTTGGTTTCGGATTTGGGGGCTTTGGGCTTCAGGTCAATGCTTTAGGGCTGCAGTGTGTAGCGACAGTGTACTATAGAAAGCCTAAACAATTACCAATACTACTGTGGGGGGGTTCCTCATTATATTTGTAGTATAATTGTTGGGCCCCCAAACCCTTCTCCATTTTAATTATTAAGTCCCCTATATTAGTGTTCAGGCCTGTCTCTCGATCTGTTTTAGATTGCGTTCTCAAAAAAGGTCTTCTGTTTTAGCTGAAATTGTTTCGCAGACAGTTCGAGCTAATTCTGGGTCTCTTCTCAGGACCTCAAGCGTTTCCTTTGCGTAAACACTTTACGGCTCAGACCTGGGGTTGATTAGCGAGCCAACCGCTCCACAGCAAGCAAAGAAGCATCCTAGACAGTAAAATGCAAGTTCTTGTTTGAGCAGCTAGGTCGCCCAAGCGCAGCTGACCCTATCCTCCTCCAAAGCTTGCGGAGCCCTCTTTCGGAACGAGCCGTCTGCAGGCCGAGTATGCAAACCACAAGTAAGACAGTCCCCAGAATACTTTGTCAAAACTTGGACAGCCATGCAGGTTCATGGTGAACCAAACACATGTACGTCCTGTGAACGGCGTCTACACCCCTGCAAAGCGCAGCAGGAGACAAACAAGACACGGACCGAGGCATATTCCTGTTCCCTGAGTTGTTTGAACTTCAAACCTGTAAAATCCCCTCACACTGAGGCGGCTTGGGCGCCTGCTTCGACTACTACAGCGCCCAGGTCGAGATCTCCAGCGCCTTGACATCTGCAAAAGGGAGAAGCAGAGGGGGGTTCCAGCCTGTCCTCGTCGTGGTGGCGGTGCTGGTCATGGGTGGTTGGTGTTTGGTGGTGTTGATCCTGTTTTGTTGTCGCTGGTGCCATTGTACTTTTTTGAAGGGTAGGGGGGTGGGGGGGGGGGGGCCGGGGGGCGGTTTGTTGAGGGCTTAAGAGCCTTCTTGTCCATGGGTTTCCATGATTTGATATCTGTCTGGGTCGAACTACAAGCTGCATAAGGGTGGTCATGGTACGGAAGAATCGCTCCAACCGTGCAGGTCGAAAGCTTTAAGAGTCCGAGCTTGTGTGTTTTCTATTCGCATTAAATCCTTCGTGCTTGACACTTCAGCTGAAACACCCGCAAGGCCTGATCCTGAGACCCAGAACCAGCGAGGCTTCAGCCAGTCGATCAACCACTGGCACCTCGCCTTAGGTGTCGGGTCTTGTGGTTGTCGGGACTGTGTTGAGGGTTGTCCGGTTTTTGGTTCTGCTTCAGGGACCCTATAGCCCTATAGTCTATAGGCCCTAAACTTCCGAGCCCTCAACTGCATGGGTCAAAAGCTTTTCTGTCTGGTCATAGCGGCTTCCAGTTCGGCAAGCAAAGGATGGAACCCAGGGTTTTCAACCTCGTCTTCGTTTCCGGTTGGTTCTCCAAAGGTTATTGCAGGCGCCTGAATCGTAGTAAGAACAATAGCAGTCAATAGCAATCATCACAAAGGCAAAACTAAATGATGCGGTTCCAACGATCGTGCAAGTAACAGGATGTACTAGAAGGTCAGTATCGTAGCCAGCTTCGGCATCTCTGAAAGCATGACCTATTGGGACCCCTCTAGCACCGTTTGGGGCTTTGGCTTTTCGGCTCCGTAGCCCGTCATCGGGCAATGGGTGCGCAAGGTTGAAGGGCTTAGGCTTCCGGATGACTGGGCGAACCCTGGCCAGCTGAGGGCAAAGTCGATTCGCATGATGCCGGTGAGCTGTGGGCAAAATGCGGTGCTGGGCAGCTTCCACTTCGAGTTCTCAGAGGGGGGGAAGTGGGGTCGCGTTCGAAACTCGCCTGAACTGCCTTTGGGCACTTCCAAGTTATGCTAGAGTGTGCATGAGCTTGAGGTTTTGCTTGCGGGATGGCCATTTCGGGTGTCATAATATGGGGGGGGCATCTGGTTCTCCCCTAGCCTCACGAAGCTCCCAATTTGTCGCCGGAAAATTCACCGCTTGCCAGTCTCTTCTGGAAACACTGAAAGTTTGATGTAGAAAGATCTCCTTTGGAAGACAGGGGAGGGATGGTGAGTGGATACTCGGCCTGAAAGCATCTCTTCAATGCGGTTTGAAATGCTTGCTAGAGCGACTCGTGTCGCAAGTTATTCGGTCCGACACCTTGCAAACGACGGCACCCCGAAGCCAATACGCTCCCCCAGTCCTGCAGTCCCAAACTTCATGAAAACCGAAGCCCGAATCCTAGGACAGAAGCCGAAGTAATATAGGGGCCTAAATAATTAAGGGGGCTCCTGATTACAATTATGCTATACTTTGTCCCGGAACCCTATTCTAATTATTAAGGCGCCTATATGAGTGATGCCGATGCAAGGACCCTCACCCAAAACAAGCAGCAAGCTAGATCCGGCTTCCAAGACCCTGAACCGCCGGCAACCTCTAAACTCCGCATGCTCTCAGTCTTGAACACCCTGCCGGACCCAAGAATCAAGACGCCAAGCAGCAGATCCTGCAAGAAGAAGCTCCAGAGTCTTGTGCGAGCCTCAAGCAAACCCAAACCAAAGAGAACTCTATCTTAAGAAACTCTCAAACCTCCGATACCCCCACGCAAAACAATTTTTAGCTCGTATAGAAACCCTGATATAAGGCCCTCGTCGGACCCCAGTACGAACGCATTGCTAAGAGACTTTTCGGCAGCCCATATAGATGCACCCCTTCTAGAAGCCCTCATGTAAATCCTAGCAACCCCCATCGAAGCTCAGTTACGAACCCGTTTTTGGAGACCGTCTGTCGGTGTCAGGCTACCAGTGCTGTAAAGCCGGTGGGGCGCCAGTGAGCTTCGACCCTCGCGGGCAACTGCCCGAGCTGGTGGGTGGCCTTGGCTAAAGTTTCCCTCCCTTTGGGTTTCAGGTTTGGGGAGTTCGGGGGTTAAGGGTTTAGGGTTGGTTGGTTGTTTCTGTAGGGCTTTGCAGGGCTTGGGGTTTCAGGGGTTTCGAGAGTTAAGGGATGGGGCTTATAGTGCTTTGCGGCGCGGTTCGGTGGCTTGGTAGCCAAGCTTTTGGTTTTGAGCAGGAGTCGAAACTGTAAAGCTCTTCACACTGCAACCCTACTGGCATAGTGAGACCGCCACGAGACGCTGTGGCAGCATGGTGGTGATTGTCAATTATGCTTGTCTTGTAGGAATCACAAGGATGGGTCCGGTTCGGGTCATTGAGTGGGTGAACTGGGGGACTACATCCTCTGGGTGCAGGCATTCGGGCTTCGTGCCTACCGCTTCGAGGGGTCATTCTTCAGACCTTGGGGTCTGGGGTTGAAAACCTAAAGCCGCAGCGAAAAGCTGGAAAGGCAGGGGAGCAACATTCGTAGACCGATTCGAAGTACATAGGAGGAATGGCATGCGGACAATGAAAGAGCGATCATCTGCAGATCCATCCAACGAGAAGTGAAACCTGTCGTCTGCCTGTCGTCAACCAATAAACCGATTCAACCCCAAGCAGTTTTGAGGGTTCGAGGCGTGGGGGTGTCGGTGTGCGTGGTCCAGTAAGTAGGGAGTAGGATTGCGAAGTCCATCAGCAAGGCCGCTACGACGGCATCTACTGCCCGAGCAGCCGTGATGCCCACAGTGGCCGGGTGAAGTTTGAGCCTCGACTGCTGGAGATGCGAGTTGAGTGTGGCGTATGTGTCGTATGGCTGCTGCTACTGCTAGTACTCCTGCTGCTGCTACAGCAACAATAACAACAACAACTACTACTACCTCTAGTGCTACTACTACTACTACTACTACTACTACTACTACTACTACTACTACTACTACTACTACTACTACTACTACTATTACTATGACTATTGCTATTTCTATTACGATTACTATTACCATTACCACCGCTGCTACCACTACCACCACGACGACGACCCCCACGACTACTGCCACCCTTACTCCCGACGACGGTAGGGTGCCTGTCTTCGACTGGCCACGACTGTGACAGGAATTGTGCGTTTTTTGCTGCCGCAGACACAAGAGACTTGGGGAAGAAGTCTGGAAGCAGCTAGAGCACGACTCTTTAGCAGGTTTCCAAATTCTTGCGATGCTGACCTTCTAAGTTTTCCGTCATGTGGTCGGCCGGTGGGAGGAGTTGAGCGAAGAGTTGGCCTATGCGTAGTAAAGTCCCTATATAATCCCTACATACCCAAAAAGGTTAAGCTTTAGTTCCCCATGATACCCGACAAGGAGGATTCCCTAGCACTCTCCATGGCAACCTGGAGTCAGGACCTGAGCGCTTTAGCCTGGAGCCCAGTCCCTAGGTTCCCTTTGTCATAGTTGGTTAACATGTTACATGCTTATGGATACTTAAACCCAATAAGGAATAAAAAAAGTACATTTTTAATCCTATCCCAACAATGATCTAGTTCCCGAAACAAGCAAAGGGCTAGCTAAAGCCCTACTTCTGCAACGCTGCCGGCAGCTTAAAGCCCAAAACCCTGAAGCTAGCAAGCCCTTCCCCTCATCTGCACAAGGAAGGTGGATCCGGGCTCACATTGTCTTTCGAGCGCAAATCCGGTTCCCTGCCGTCCAAGGGATGCCTATTGCACAGTGGCTTTTGGGAGGATGTAGGGTTGTAGGGTCAGGGTGTGAAGAGTTTTGGGCAGGGTTTGAGGATCAGGAGGCCTGGGAGGGTTCGTTTTGTAAACCGGCCTGGAAGCTTCTGTTTCGCGGTTTCGGTTCCTTGGAATGCCTTCGCGATATTCAAGGGGTTGAGGGCGACACTAGCTCCAGGAGGCCATGGGAGGACAATGTTTAGGGTTTAGGGTTTGGTTTAGGGGTTAGGGTTGAGAGCAGGGCTCTCGTGTTCAAGCCAAACAGAAACCTTTGCCCTAAACGGTGAATTGGAAATCGCAATCGAACAGCGTTGGATGAGTTCTCAGGCCAATGGTGCTTGGATTCCGAGTGCTCCGACGTCACCGACAGCGCATCTCCCCTGGGAATCAAAGGCTTCGCTGGGGAGCCGGCTGTGTGGTTGAGGGGTTTAGGAGCTGTCACTATAGGGGCCTTTATAATTACCTCAGCTATCTAGGGGGGTCTTTGTTATAACTACAGTATATTAAACCCCCAAACCGCATTCTGCTTATTACGGCCCCTACGTTAGGTTCAGGGCTTTGGGTTCGAGGGCATCTTGCTAAGCCCGCCGACGCGTGTTAGTCTCGGTTTTCTTGTTTGGAAGCTGGTTGGGTATATTTAATGTAGGGGCCCTGTGGCGTGTCCTTCGGGTGGTGGTGGCCGATTTGATGCCGCGGACGTTCTACGTGCGTCTGTTGCTGGAAACTGAGCCTGCAACAGTCAGTTCGTGTAAAGATGCATGTGCAACCAGTGGAGAGAGAGAGAGAGACAGGGAGAGAAATAGTTACCTGTACTACTTTGGGAGTTCTTCGTTATAGTTACAGTACAGTGGTAATTAGTAGGCCGCAGGACCCTGCGCTAATTATTCAGGCCGCTATATCGTTAATCTCCATTTTTTGATCCTTGATAGGAACCCGTAAAGACCCGTTTAAAGGCACCCTATTCGAATCATTAAGGCCCTATATCATTGATCTCTATTTTTGATCCCTGATAGGAATCCGTAAAGACCCGTTTCTAGGAACCCTATTCTAACTCTTAAGGCCCCTACATCAGTGATCTCTATTTTTGATAGGAATCCGCATAGACCCGTTTCTAGGAACCATATTCTAATCATTAAGGCCCCTATATCATTGATCTCGATCTTTGATTCCTTAGAGTATAACCCTTAAAGACCATTTAAAGGAGCCCTTTTCTAATTAAGGCCCCTATATACTGTTTCTAATCATTAAGGCCCCTATTATACCAAGCTGAAACCCTTCCTACTCTCGCACAGGTGCTGCTTTCGAAGTGGTAAACGTGAGCGATTTCGACGGCGAATTCCTCGGGCAGATGCCCAAAGAGAAAAGCAAGGCAGGTGGGGTTCTTCAGGGTGGCAGCATTTTGGCCACAGGGTCTAAGTCTAGGGTTGAGAGCAAGTTAAGTGCAGAGGGCTGCTTAGGGTTTAAAGAGTTTCGGAGTCGACAGAAGCATTGAGGCTTGAGTTTAGACTCTTTCAATGTCGCGCGGTTGAGACCCGGTGGTGAGCGACGGGATGCAAGCCTTTTCCGCTGTTGTGGCTCAGGGTACCTCAGGGTTTAATCAGGGTCTAGGGTTCTTAAGGGTTAATTATAGGGTTTAGGGTTTAAGGGAAGTGGGTCTTGTTGTGAGTGTCGGGCATTACAGAGTCTACCATGTGGGCTACATGATGATGCGGGTAATCACAGCATGATGAAATCAAACTGCAACGTGACAAGTTGCTCCCAACCCGACAGTTCACAATTAGCTTTCAAGATAGGTTCTGGGACAAGTTTTCAAGCCCATGTCGTGCAGCCTTACGATCCGCCAGACAGCTGCGCAAATTCTACCCTGAAGTTTTGCACCCTGAGCTGCCTCCTGAAACGCGCGGGCAGCTTCATGTTCACTTCAGAAGCGCTTGGGCTGAGGATGCAAGTTCAGAGTTCAAGATCTACAGCTGCAGCAAGCTTCCATAATGCAGAATCCCTCAACCCTAAAGTCCACAAGCTCTAAGCCCTAACTCCAAAGACATACCAGTTCTAAACCCTAAAGTTTTAGGCACTGTGAAGTCTCTACACCCTATGGCCCCTACGTACAATAGAGGCCTTAATGATTACCTATACTATTTTGGTGTTCTTTTATGAATTATATGATTATAGTACCATGGGCCCCAAAACCCTGTTCTAAGTGTTCAGGCCTTTTGTTAGTGGCTCTGCCCGGTAGCGCCGAAAACTCCTGGAGGTTCTGTCCTTGGAGGAGGCCAGGACCTGCCGGCATTGGGGTGGCAGTTAGAGGGTCTGTCGGGCTTAGAAGGGAGTTTCCGAAATTAGGTGGAGTTCCTTTAAAGGGCTCTAGAAGGGTTTAAAGCTTCCGAAAATTAGGGGTACCTTATTTTGGGGTCCTTATTAGAAGGATCCTCCTGTTTAGGCTACTACATTATGGTCCCCTATTTTCGGAAACTCCCAGATGGCCCTTCTGGGCTTATAGGGTTTATTGAGTCTGGGGTTTAGGGTCAGGGCTTATGGGTTATGTTATGGTTTAGCTTTCATGGATTTAGGGTGCGGGGTCTTTGGGAACCGTCGGCTGCAGAAGACTCACAAGACACCTTAATTAGAGGTTCATGAGACTTAGTAACTATGGTTTCGGAACAAGGTAACTATACTCATTATTGGTTATAACCCCAGTTAAGGTACTTATAACTGTACTTACTAAGTCCCATGAACCGCCAAGTGGTCGAATTTCGGAAGAAGTCCTTCATCGACTCTCTGCCATGACAACTCTGAAAGGCAACCCCGAATTCAATCGAAAATGCATGAAACCCTAGCCCAAAACCCGATCTCACGAATCGATTTGTTTTTCCGTCCGTGTGGTTGAGATGATGCCTCCTCAAGAATTTCAGATCTCTTGCAAAACGCCCCCAGAGGGGACAAGAGAACTCAAAAGAGCTTCAGAGAACGTGTAGCCGATTTCCGAAACCCTGCTCACAAACGTTCCGCCCATGGAGCTTGCGGGGTTTAGGGCACAGGGGGCTACATCTAGAGTTCTTATATAGAGTTCAGGGGTTAATGCAGGAGTTTAGGAATGTAGGGGTCCCGTTCAAGACCTGCGGACTCGGAAACCCTTCAAGCAACTTCATGCCTCAGAACCAGATGCCATGCCATGGAGGCCTTGCGCATGAAGCCTCCGCGACGCCCTCCGCAGCCCCCGATGCCCGAGTTAGAGGCTGTTCGGGCTTGTCGAACGATTTACGGTTACCAGCGCACGGAGGGTCGAGGGTTGAGTGAGATACTGTAGGAACCTGATTAAGAAACCCTGGGCCGATAACCCGAAAATAGTAGGATTCATGTAAGGAACCCTAGTAAAGGCCCAAGGTTTCTTAATCAGGTTCCTACATTATTTTAGTACCATTATAGATCCCCTATAGGAACCCTAATAAAGGCCCACCACATTACTTCCAGGAGGCCGATTGGCCTGGGAGGATTTGCCTCGCAAAACTTTGTGGGGTGTCAGTGCAAGATGGTGTGCCAAGTTTCCGCTAAGTCGGGATTTGGGACATTTTAAGTTTTCTCTTTTTAGGCTTAGGGGGATCTTATTTACTAGTATTTTTCAAAGGCTTCAAAAGCCCCACCTAGTTTGGGGTCTTTTAGGGTCCGGGAATTTCAAGGTTGGGGGAGCTCTCAGGGTGTTCAAGAAGTTCAAGGCAAGAGAAGGTTCAAGATTCAGATCCCTTCATCCATTTGTCATTGTCCCGGACTTCAAGGTTCATGGCACAGGCCTCAAGGGTGCTTAGAGAGTTCGTATGGCTAAACCCTAAACCCCAAACCCCTAAACCCTAAACCTTACTCGATGATCTTTCGCTTAAAACTCTCCAATCCCAAGCGGCGCAGGAAATATGCCAAAGCTCTCGGCATCATCTAGGAGCCTGAATCATTACCAATACTATTTTGGGGGTTCCTTGTTATAAATGTAGTATTATGGGCCCCAAAATCCCGTTTCTAACTATTAAGGCTCCTATGCCCTATGTTACATCATATTTGGGTCCGTGAACATGTGCTTGCGGAATGCTAAAAGCCCCTACACAGATCCATCGGCCCTGAAACACGGGAAATGCAGGAGTTCAAAGCACAGCAGCCGAAGTACGCTGCGGAGTGCTTGAACTACGAGAATCTCTGGAAGGTTGCGTGCCAAGCCATCCAGTTTTCAGGGTGTCGCTGGAAGTGCCTTTCTCGACGTCTCATTTCCCGATGCCCGAGACCTCGAGGCTTTAAGCTCAGATCCTTCAACCCTAAACCCTAAACCCTAAACCGTAAGCAGGACACTTGCATTTTTTCTTCGGGATGCCGGAGGCTTCGGAGTGCTCAGTGGGAAACACACTGTGAGGTCAAACCAGAAGGTTCTACCTTGGAGGTTCATGAGTAGTTCTAAGTAGGGTTATAAGTAAGGTAATTATTCCTTCCTATAACCCATATCAGGGGACTTATAACCCCACTTAGAACTACCCTTCAACCTGCAAGTAGTCACGTACACACCGGCCAAGGACGTCTCGGAGACCTTCAAAGACGAGGAGGACCCCCGTCCGTCCTCAGTTCCACCCGGCTCAGAAACGGTGACTCCGCAAAGACCTCTAAGCCCACTGTAGTTCTTACCACTTGAAAGCTGGGTCTGGACAGTCTGGTTCAGGGAGTTCTTAGCGGTTTCTGGAAGGGCAGATCCGAGAAGCAAGCTCGGTACCAAAAGTTACTGTAAGCTCATCCAGAACCCATCCAATCTTCTTTGCAAAACCAGCCTGTTCGTCAATGGGTCACTGAAGACTGAGAGTAAGCACGGTTCGGCTGTGAAGTTGTTGCGCGGATTCCGGATGTGTTCCGAGTGACAGTCTCTGCATTCGTTTCACACACCATCGTTCTACTTCGCCGGTCCTCGTAAATCCACATTGTGTGTTTTTGTGTATGCTACCTATACCATTTTGGGGCGTTCTTAATTTTAATTTTGGAATATTGGGGCCCAAAACCGTATTCTAATTGTATGCCCGGACGGGATTGGAGTAAAACAGTCCGCCCTGAACTCTGAGGCTCGCCGAGTGGGACATTGAGGGTTTTGGGGCCCATTGCATTATGACTATTACAACTATCATAAGGAACCCTCAAACTAGTATAGTGTGGTAATTATTAAGGGCCCCTTTAGTAGGCTTCGGGGGGATGAGATCGACTGTGGCTTCCAAGCTGTCGTAGACAAGCTTAGAGCGTTTAAGAAATACAGTACTCAATTATTTTCGCGACAAGGCGGATTAGGCGGGTCGTTTGTCGAGTTCGGTTTGAAGGACGAGGAAGTGCAGACAACATCCAAGTTGGAGGCGGATCCGTCCACGAAGGACCTATTCGAGCGTGCTTTGTGTAGTCTCCTCATGCGGCTTGAGCTCTGGATCTCATGCTCTGTGCAGCTGAGATGCTCAAGAGTTCGGGGGTGCTGTAAAGCAGGGTCTTGTGCTTGCGGAGCTAAGTTGCGCATCCTTTGCCCCAGTCAGTGCTTCTCTGCGGTGAAATGAATGTTGGTGCCCGAGCGTGTCACTACTTTGTGTCCAGTGTCGTGGAGTATGCGAATATAACCACCGAACTCATGGCCCGGTATTGGAGACGTGTCAGCAATCTGGATCTGCAGAAGCATCTCCATGACTTTTCGTACTTGCGCGATTCGCTATCTCCGTAGTTGTGCCAGGCAGTACTGCAGGCTGCCACCACCAGCACTGACCGAGAGCAACAAGAACACCAACAGTGATCAGCGCACTCACCGTCCCGATGCCACCGCACCCGGCCACACCCTCCTATTGCTTGAGGAGGGGATCTCGACTGATAACGACCCCTGCAAGTTGTGCAGACAGGGTCATGCAAACTTTCCACAACACTTTTAGATCCACGGGTGCGAGGAAGGCCAATGCAGTAGCCGCCCCCTGGAGGAGCAACAGCTGGACTCATACCACCCCTGTGAAGTGGCCAAGAGTGCGGGCGGCATCTTTGGTCAGTGGGGTGGAGGCGGAGGGTGTGGGGTTGGAAGCTACTTGGGAGTTTCCGAATATAGGGGACCCTAATACAGTACCCGAAATAGTAGGATCCTTATTATAAGGACCCCAAAATAAGGTAGCCCTTTTTCTCGGAAACTCCAAACCCTAAACCCTTGATAGAACCCCTTATAGTATAGATCCCCTAATTTTCGGAAACTCTCAATTGATCGGTGTTTTGATCGAGACATTCATCGGAGTTTTCTTTCCGGGTGAACTACTTGGAGGTTCATGGGTAGTTATAAGTGGGGTTATAAGTCCCCTAATGTGGGTTATAAAGTATAGTTATCTTACTTATAACCTTACTTATAACTACCCCTGAGCCTCCAAGTAAGGGTGTGGTATGCTGTCAGGTGTTTCAGTTGGCCTGTGCTGTAGCACATTGTCGTTGATGATTGAAACCTGATCTCAATTACTGGATGCACCGCGGCAGCCCGCAAGGGAGGGAAAGAGAGAGAGAGAGAGAACCTAGACCCTGTGGACTGCACCCGCCTCACACCCCGAGCAAAGCAAAGCAAAAGAACCTAGACCCTCCATCTACCCTCTATTAGACCCTAAGTACCCACTATTTGGGACCACATACCCCTTTTTGAGGGTACAAGGAGGGTCCTGGAATTAACGCTTCCGTTGCAGAGGGGTGTTGTCGTGGGGCTAAGAATCAATCACCAGGCCATAAGGCTTGAACTTACCTTTGGTTAGTAGGGAATGGAAGAATGGTAGTAATAGTAGTTATAATTCTACCCCATTCCTCCATTCCCTACTAACCAAAGGTATGTGAATAACGCTGCCAATGCCTGATCGGGTGCTTTCGTACCGCATTTTCAACTGCACGGTCTTGGAGGATTGCTGCTACTGTTCCCTGTTTGGTAGTCCTCTGTTGCTCGGCCAAAAGGTGCAGAGCGTAGTGAGATGGCAACTCTTTGCATTCATTGTTTTCCAGATCTCATCGCATCACTGTGCGAATGTTGACTCCTTCGTGGCCGATTCTTTTCAAGCTGTCTAGGTGACCTCTCTCGTATCTGTGCTTTTGCATGGTTATGGGTTCCAAGTCCCCCGCCCCGGAACCACCCAGAATGGTGACGTGTCGGGAGGAGACGGGTCGACTGCTCCAGACAATATGATGTATGCGGACTGGAACGATTGCATGCAAGGCGCCGGAAGCCTGCATCAGGGTGGGGGGAGGTTGGGAGAATCTTGAGCTCCGACATCCTACTCTACCTATGGGTTCGACAAAGGTAAGTCAGGATAAACCCAACTCTGCTCTGCGGTTCCTGTAGACAGACAGCGAAGATTCCTGATTAGCGGAAAGATTCGGTAACCTTCGAGCCTAAACCCCCTCGGGCAGCCAAAGGTCCTGAGGGTAAAGGTGCAAAGCCGTAGTGCCCCGAAACTTTTCCTGCTCTTGTAAGCTGTTCCCGAACCTGGAGATGACTCAAAAACTTACGAGGAGGACTTGTAAGAGTTCCTGCGCAATGCGAAGCGGAGCACTGACAGCCTGGGGTGCTGTAGCTGAAACATATTGTTGGCCAAGGTTCCATTTCCAAACCCGAATCTTGCGAGCCTTACAATAGCAGAATAGCCAAGTGGCACTCTGGAACTCTTGTAGCTCTCCCGCTGGTCTTGTTGTGGAGGTACGTATCCATTAGGATTCTGCGGGCCCTTGAACCACGACCCAGAGACCAACCGTAGGCCCGAAACCTGCTAACCCTGCAGCAGGGCCCTTGCAGGACCGATCCTGTAAGGGTTTAGCGGTGTACGGCGTAGGCTTGAGGGTTCGGAGTGGTCTGAGAAATCAGTAGCTTGTGTTTCGGCATAATCTACGGTCCCTGATGTTAAGTGCGTGCAAATATATACTTATATATTTCCTTCACCACACGCTGAGCGGACATTATTGAGATTTGAGAATGTCTTGCGATCAAAGGGCGCTTTGGTTTGTTGCAGCCCTAGGCCCTAAACTGGCCTTGAAGCTCCGGGGGTTTTCAGGTTGGGGCTTAAAGCCCCCGGATCCGAAAGCAAACGGAGCAAAGCCACGAGCCAACGAGGCGGCTACAGGGTGCCTCTAATGGGTATTGGGCCATGACTTTACCTACTTGGGGGGGTTTAGGTCGGGTTTAGGGTTGTGCAGAGCACGGATGTGGCGGACTTCCCAGCTGAACAGGGTCGGAGCCTGGGTTCAAAAAAGGGTTCAGGGTTTAGGGAAAGGCCCCTGCTCAACACGTACTCCCTAGTGTTCTTAGTTGATGCAGTTTCTGATGATTTGCTCGAGTGCTTGAAGCGACTGGCATGAGCTCCAGCAGAGAGTTCGGCTCCGCTTGGGCACACGTTCTTAGCAAAGGGAGCCCAAGGGAAAGGCCCCAAACCTGTCATAGTGACTATAAGGATTCTATTCGGGCCCTATTATATATTCCTATGATACCACTATCACAGGGTGGGGGCCCCTTCTAACCCAAGCCCCACAAAGCACCGGAGCCTCGGAGGCGACATCGAGCGCGATTTGGCCGCTGCGCGGGTGGACTATCATGACTCATTGACCGAGCCCTGCCTTTCTTGCTGCCTTACGGTTTAAGGTCCTCAACTGGGGATGTAAGGAACTATGGTGGAATGTGGTCTGGAGTTATTAGACGTAGACTCCGGTGATATTTGAGGCTTCTGATTTTGGGAGGAAGCATGTTTTGCTGAACATATGAGTGTACAACACACTCCCAGGAGAGATTCAGATAATGGGTCAATGCTCTTAGGACAGAGAGTACTTCGCAGCAATGCCGTCATTCGGAAAGAGCGAACCCGAGGAATTCATCTTGGATCTCACGGAGGAGACTTTGGGTGCGGTGTGTGGTGTTATTCCGGATGCAGCCCGGCGAGAGGATCGCAGATAACGCGACCCTACAGACATGTACAGGTTGGAGCTGCGAGTGGCTGTGATAGTTCTTTGTGGGTAGCGGTTCGTGGTACAGCCACAAAAGCTAAACACTGAAATTCAAGAACGAGGAAGAGTCCAGTTTTGCTTCAAGTGATCATCGTTGCCTCGTAGCGCTGGCCCGATTTTACGACATCCCGATCTCCTCTATTACGACATCCCGATCTCCTCTATCCTGCACTGGCATTTTTCGTAGAGTGGCGGGTTTATCACTTCTTGCTCTGTGTCCGATCGGTAATATAGAGGCCTGAATTATTACCTACTCCATTTTCGCTGCGTTCCTTATTATAAGTATAGTATAAGGGGCCCCAAAACCCGATTCTAATTGTTAACCTATATTATGTTTGGCGTTTTGGCCACGTTGCATTAACCAGGTTAGCGAATACGAATGAATACGACATGTTTGGGATTGAGAGCCGAGGTGATGATTGCCCCATTCGGTGCCGGAGTGGCTCTCAATCCGGGTGAGATCTGCAATGGCCACTGTGATGCTTTAGCTACTCTACTCGCGGTAAATGTTCAGCAATGCAGAATCCTTACCAGCCGCAAGCTGCACATGAACCGGCAGTTTCCAAGCGTCGGCAACGAGAAGTGGTCTCCTGAAAGGTATTTCGTCAATAGCCGCGAGCTGTATCGCTTTAGACCGCACGCCATTCTCTCACGTTGCGGCGCAGCGTGTATTCCCCCGCACACCAGACAGCCCAGGACCCCGGACCAAGAAGACTCTATCCTAAACCGAAACTAGAAGCATTGTATAATGCAAAATGTAATGATTCTGAAATTCATTGTTGCACCTTTTGGGACATGGAGGCGAAGCCGCTTCAACCACTGCTTCCCTGGTGTGAACACTGACATGTTAAACATTGTTAAACCAACAGCGTAAACTGGTCCGCTACCAGTAAGTCAGGGGACCCCATAGCCGTGTGTTGCCTCACACTGCGTGTACTATATCTTCTGCGTGCTGACTCAGCTAAACGCGAAAAGTTGCGGCGGAATGCAAAGCTTGTAGATCAAGAAACCTAGGACGGCGAGGCGACATGCACAAATCTTCGAAGCATGCACATCGACACATCGAAGCAGAACGGACTGAACCGTAAACTTCCCTCCGCCCTCCGGGTCTACAAAGCACCTGACACTGGAAACGCCTTCGTATCGAGCCCTTGTAAACTCTTACAAAGCCCGTCCACAAGCCTTAGAACTCTTCTCCATAGAGCCGTCCAGGTATTTCGGAGCTCGTGGGGGCCATCTCAAACTTTGCCGGCCCCGCGAGTGGGTTCCACTTCGCGAGGCGGCCTAGGAATTAAGTAATATAGGGGCCTTGATCATTAGAATAGGGTTTTGGGGGATATTATACTCAAACCATAAGAAGGAACCCAAAGACCAATATTGGCAACTATTTAAGCCCCTGCAGTATGGGACAGTGGAAAGCTTTAGGGTCCGAGTTTGATGATACGTAATAAGAGAGGGTTCGTTGGGATTAGAGGGTAGTTTGCCAGAAGGCGTATAGGGTGCGCATTGGCCGTGCAGATACGGGATTTACGAGTGGCCAAACGAGACTCGACCTGCTTTTCCACTGTGATTCGGCGGCTTAGGGATCAAACATCTCTCTCTCTCTCTCTCTCTCTGCTTTTCTCTCCCCCTCCTTTGTGCACACCTTCCATGCACAAGTAGAGACACATATGGAATCATAGCCCTAGTGAGCCCCTTGCCCCGGACACCTAGGCCCTAAGCAGAGCTGAGTTGCCGAAAGTAGATCTGCAATAGTAGGGCCCTCAGTTGCGCTGATTCGTGAATCTGTGTTGCAGGTCAGTCTAGGCTGTGCATACTCAACCCCTGAAACCCTAAGCCCGTCCATTGCTTCAGGGGTCCAAGTATTCCCTCTGTTAGGATTTGGGCCGTTTTCATGGCCACGTATTGCAAGGTCCACTGCTAGTACCATGAAAAGCCATAGCATAAGACCTTACAGCGCCTTTACGAAATCCACTAAGTCCTTAAAAAGCCTGTGCAACCCTGCACCCCATGTAATTTTCGAAAAGGCAGGAATGGTCCATTGAGCAAGAGCCTCGCCTGCAGCATCCTAGAGCTGGGATCAAGCAGCAGAGAAACCGAAAACTGCGTTTGGTGTTTCTTTTCAGGCTTAGAGTTTAGGGTGACGTCCTTCAGGGCTTGGGGGGTTTAGGATTCGGATGTAGTATCTAGGGCATCCTGGCCCTTTCCACATCATAGAAGTTGTCATCATCGCAGTCATCACCATAAATATCATTGCCATCTAATCTCGGCTGAGCTTGAGAAGTCCGAGGGGCACCGGCTGAACCTCCAGTACTTGAATAACCGAAAAACCATAGTCATAATTTAGCTGAGGTTTCTTGAGCCCTGAACAGTTCTGGACTTTCTTGTTCTTTATGGCTATCGCTAGCTGCTGACTTGTTGGGAGTGTGCCGATAAGCTTGTAGGAGCAGCATGCACCGGAACTGATACCACAAATGTAGTGCGAAATCGAACCTCGCCTGGGTCCGAATTGCGAGAGCGTACACCCTAAACTGTATATCGATATTTCCTACTGGTACCTGTGTACTGAAATGGTCGCGGAGCCCTTAAAAACCTCAGAACGAGCCAGCCACGGACGGAGACAAACACTACGAAATGATGTTTATGGTACCTTGCATCACCTGGTGGTATTGGTTACTGATTCCTGAATATGGTCAGCACTTCCATCTTGAGTTTCGGCGAGCAAACAGTAACAAAGAGCCTCTACTCCTTGCAATCCCGGCAGCCTGAGACACACTAGTGGGAGCATCCTTGCGGAGGAAGGCTACGCAGCGTGCAATCCCATGCAAATCGGGTTTGCACGCGCCTTCTGCGACATCCACTGTGTGCGGGATGCCGTGATCCGGGGCGATCGGTCCATCATCCGAGACTTGGCCGACAGGAGTGTGGATTGAGGGTTTGTGTTGGGTGTATCAGAATTTAAAGTTTGAGTTTTCAGAATTTCAGGTTTGAGGTTCTGCTTGGCTTTCAAGCATCTGATTAGGTCTATGAGGGTTATCGAAGTTGTCGGCAATGCGGAGAGGGAAATTTGGGATTTCGAAGATCGTGTGGTAGTAACGCTGAACGTCTAGGATTGGGCATGTTTATGTCTGGACTGCCGATTCTGCAGGTAAGGCATGCTGAGGCAAGATTGTTTTGTGCCAATGCCTGTCGAACCTAACACTTTTTTCCCAGCTGGTATATGGGCTATCCCAAAACACGCATCCGGAGTTGTTTGGGACAACAAGCAGAAGCCAGAAACTTCAAGATTCCTGACGTTCCAAATTGCGGGACTGACGCGAAGAGACCGTCTGGCCCTTTGCAGGGATTGACAGGCCCCATGCATCCTCGCACGAGCTAATTGCCTAGGCTGCTAAGCGTTTGTAGTTGAGTAGGGTTTGCCTCTGAAAGGTAGCACAATACAGCAGCTGCTTTAGTGCTTCTTTTCCTTCACTGAGGACACAATGTTGTACTCCATCTCTCGCCGGAGTTTGAGCAAGATGAGGTTTAGCAGCACACACGAACACTGATCGAAGACATCGTTTTCAATTGTGGTCCTGGTATGAAGACGTGCTTCGGGTGCAGGAAAACGGGCTCAATGCCGCTCTGTTCTGTGACCCTGACCTGACCTGACAAACCGAAGCCGTAAACTCCGTAATCTTCAATACCGGAGCCCTGACATTCCAAGCCCGGAAATTTCAATCCGTAAACCACGGTCAAGAGCTGCAGGAAGCCACAGAGACAGCACCTTACACATCAAGTGCCAAAAAAACTGGAATCCGGGCCCAGGGAATCGAAATCCAATGCCTCATACGCCTACTTCTGTTGTAAGGCCCTGAACCCCGAATGGTTGCCCGTAGCCGAGGTAACCTTGAGATGGCAACGAAGAAGACTAACAACAACTTGAAGGCCGAGGGGAGTTGCAGGGTCTTACTTTGGCTTGGGCGTTCTTGGTTTAGGGTTTTGGGTTTAGGGTTTTGGGTTTTGGGTTTAGGGTTTTGGGTTTAGGGTTTAGGGTTTTTTCCGGCGAGGGCGAGTTTCGTTCTGTCTGTTGTTTGTATGCGGGCCGTTGGCTTTGCGTATGTTTGTCTTCGGGGGTTTTGTCTTATGCGCTTCGGGGCTTGGGTATGTGCGGTTGGGCTCAAAGTCTTTACGCTTTTAGCCACGGGGGGCAAAGATTCAGGCTCCTACATTTCTCTTTTTGTTCGGTCCCTGTATTCGGGCTCAGGGTCTTCTTACCCGGGTTCACAGTCCCTCGATTGGGGTTCCCTACGGCTGATGATGTAAATCCTGCATTACCTTTATGACCCAGGACTATGGGAATTATGGTATAGTCCTTGTTATGGGTACTGCAGGATTTGTATCATCAATTCCCTACTTGGAGGTTCATTGGTAGCTATAAGTAGTTAGGCTATAAGTAGGGCAACTATACTTATAAGCCATATCAGGGGTCTTATAACCCCACTTATAAGTACCCCTGAACCTCCAAGTATGCCAGGGTTTCGGGTTTTCTGCCCTGCCAGGCTCTGGTCAAGTGGTCAGTCGATGCTTCTCACACGGACATCGGGTGGATTGGCGAGAAGCTGGACTATATGCACATTATCAACACCGCCTACATGCAGGAAATCCACGACGCTTGGGCGAATAGTGGCTCTTTTCGTGTCGTCCGCCCGTAGTCAAACGACAGTCCGGGTGCTGCTAGGCCCGAAGCCGTTTCAGCCTCTGCCCTCAACACCTTCACGCAGGCATAGATCATCGTCTGGCGGAAGTGACCACAGCTGGCTCTACAAGCCCATTTTGTCCATGAAACTTCACATGAAAATCCACTGGCCTGATGTTCACCACTGTCTTCCGTCTGCAACTTTGACTGCCACATACTTGTTTGTTGCATATGTGGCGACGTGTTGACATTTAGCGGGTGTGTCGAAGCTACAACAATTGAGCCAGAACATGTTGTGCCGCAGTTTTCGGTGGCTGCAGCGAACCACGAGTATCTACAATCTACAAAATCGGCCCATCATTCTGCTGCATCATTGCCTATCACTCGTATCGTGTCCGGCAAATTGAGAAAAGCCGCTTCTTCCTGCAATGTGGGATTATTTCTTCCTCAGCTTTTGAGTCAGCAATTGCAGAAGGGAGCATGCCTGCATATATGCTCATGTAGCACAAAAACCCAGCTGTGAAGAGGCAGGAAAGAGCCTCACAGCGTGTTAATCCCAGCAATTCAGCCACAGAGGCACGACATACAAACAGAAAGCAAAAGATGCATAGTGTTGCCAAAGGCAAGCATGCAACAAAGCGGCTCTTCAAGACCTTATCGGCGCGAGTGACAACTGCTCAAAACACAGGGCCAAGCAAGCCTGGAACGACCTGCAGAGAGCCTTCGCCCTGAAGCCCAAAACAGACCCGACTGCCTCTCAAACACACCCTAAGCATCTCTTGCAGGACAGCAGACGAGTGATCCTAGGTGCGAATCAGCAGACGACAGGGCACACACATGATGTCAAGGCCAGCCTTTCTCAGCTTTCAGCAGGATTAGACGATCTCACATTAACTTCTCACGGTGACAGGTTAGGTTCGTGTAGTTCGCGTCATGTAGGGCGAGTAAAAATGCCACCTCACCTAGCGACATAGCATTCTCGCCTTGCCACCTCACCATGAAACGCCCTGCTGCGAAGTCGACTGCGAAGCCTGCTGCGAAGGCAAAGACGGGTCCAAAGGAGGCACCGCAAAGGGATCTGTCACTTCGGATCCTCTATGTTGCCGAGGAGATCTTGCAGCAGTGGCACCTGACCTGTCCCAAAACATGGACTACCACCCAAGTGAAAGATGCAGTGAAGAAGCAGCTGAGGGCCAAAGGAGACCTGTTGAAACTGCTTCGGGTTGGAGGTGAGCTGATTCCAGATGGCAGTGTTCTGGAAGAGGTCGGGCTACTGGATGGCTCTGAAATCTACGCCGTGCTTCAACAGACTCAAGGAGCTCGGTGCGACGTGGAGCCTGAAAGTGAAGAAGATCAAGATGACAGTGAATACGAGCTGGACGATGACCTGTATGACCTGGACCACACCAGACGAGCCACAGGAGAGTGGGATGCATGCATCAGAGGATGTGGGAATCGGGGCAGCGACTACTACGGTGGTGAGTGCCGAAGCTGTTACGATGAGCACTGACGAAGTGCAGCCTTCCCAGAGACTGCAAAATACCACAAACGATACATGGGCTTCTACAATTTTTTCAGGTGTATTCCTTAATGCAAGTTTTTTGGAGTCTCTGGCTTCGTGCGATGGGACCCTGGAGGTCGACGCACGTCGACGCGTCACCAGCGACCGGCGTTTTACCATTGAAATGCTTTAAGAAGGAACTTCGTGTGCATCCTTGCGAGCTTGCTACACGCTGTACACGTTGTGCACAATCCCAATATGACCTCAAAGATTAACCTTTAGTATACTTCAAGTACACACCATTAAGGGCCAAAAGGGCTCTAAAAAAGGGCGCGTGGGGGGGTGTTGGTAGGTCTTAGGGTTTAGGATTATTTTGTGCTTGTTTATGGTTACATCATGTTTCATCAACAGGGTCTACGGTTTATTTACCCGCCTTAGCTCACTTTCCCTAAACCCTAAACCCAAAAAGAGGTCTTAGCTCAGTTTCCAAACGGCAGTTGAGTGTAGGTTTTGTGGATTCGAACAGGGACGCTGAGCCTGTCAGGGATAAGCACAACCCCATGCAGGGTCCGAAGACCCGTCTTATGAGACGGTTCCTTTAAAAGGTTTCATCGTGAATTATATGACTTCACAGGGGCTTCAGGGCGAATGTAACTAGGTGCTTGCGGCTGGGACCGGACTGCAGCTAGGTTTTCGGAGTCCAGCGACAGTTGTTTGCAAGCAGGTGGCAGGTTGTGCTGCTTTCGACAGCGCCATGTCTCCTAAAGCGTTGCAGCCCTGAGGCCTTAAACTTAAGCTCCCTGAGCCCTATGAAAGCACCCTCTGCTCCAAACCCACATCCTAAACCCTGTGCCCCTGAGGGGCAAAAGGAGCACGGGACTTAGGAAGTGGGTAATGAGTAAAGGTATACGTAAGATAATCCCAACTGGGATGCTTCTAGCTCTCTTCCTAGTCTACCTACACCGTGCCGCTACCCTGCTGGCAGCCTGCAACCCCCTAAACCCCGAACCCCCAACCCGAAACCCTAAACACTTGAACCCAGAACCCAAAACCAACGGCCTTTTGGCAGCTACTGGGCTCATGAAGCAGGATTTAGGAGTCTCGGTTGAAGGAGAGATGCGCCAAAACGGCGGCTTAGGGTATGGGCTTTAGGGTGTAGGGTTTAGGATTCCGGTTTCATTGACAGTTCAGGGTTTTGGTCGATTTGTGGGTTCGAGGCTGGGTCCATGGGCTCAGGTTATGGATGGGAGCTTCAAGGAACTGTTTAGTTTGGCGCTCCTGGCCACATTCTTAAAACCCTAAAAACCTAAACAGCACTAAACCCCGCGCCGTGAACCTCGCCTGGCATGTCCGAGTGGTGAGAGCGTAAATATCCCTGAACCCTCCCCTCCCCCTCCCCGCTCCCTCACTCGCGTCCCCCCGGCGAAAGCCCCAGAGAGCCCAATACCCCTTTAATAGCGAATATAGCTTAAATCATAATTATGAAGCCCTAAAATTTTAAGCCATATTCCTTAGTTAAGGGGTATTGGGCTCTCTGGGGCCTTAAGGACATGGTCACCAAGCAGTCCCAAGCAGCTGAGGAGCGGGTCTTGCCCAAGTTCTGAAAGTCTTGGGTTAAGGGTATTCCTAGACCCTGAAGAGCCTTCCTTTTGAGGGTTCCCTGATATGATTTCCTTATATACACCCTCATAAAGGTGGGTTCTTCAGGGTTTAGGGTGTGGGGTATTAGGGTATTAGGGTATTAGGGTTTTGGGTATTTTCTTGGGGGGGAGGGGGTTAGGGTATAGGGTGTATTAGGGTTTAGGGTATAGGCTTTAGGGTTATGAAAGTTTTAGGTTTGTTTTCGGTAGGGTTTATGATTACAGGCTCACCGAGGAAGATGGGCAATGTTATTCCTGGCCAAGATTGGGTTTTGCACGGTTTTTGCAAGGCCGGTCCGTTGAAGCTTGTGCCATGATGATACAGAGGCCTGAAAAAGCCAAATTTGTGGGGTTGGTTTGGCCTTGGTGCTACTTACAGAGCCCTAATATAGGGGGCTCAACATGTTGGGGTTCCTTACTATAATTACAGCATAATGGCCCCAAGCCGTCCCAAACCCCTATTCTAATTATTAAGGCCTCTATATTGCAGTGGGCATCTCCTTGGAAGCATTGTGATGAGGCGGAGCTCCTCCAGGGCACCGAGAAAGCCACTGATTCAATGCCCCCTGGGACTTGATCAATATAGGGGCCTAAAGCGTTACCAATACAATTCTTGAGGTTCCTTATTATACTTGTAGTCTAATATCCCCCAAAATCTTACTCTAATTATTAAGGCCCCTCTATCTTGTGGTTTGGGATTTACGGTTTAGTTGCTTCGGTTTGAGATTTCCGGAGCGTTGGAAGCTCGAGATTGTTATTTTGTGCCGTGAACCTTTGCAGGCATTCATAGGGTTGCAACGGGTTTTTCGACCTGCAGAACTCTCGGAAGACGTTGGTGGGCCCGGGATTGTCCTTCATGTGTATTGCGGCGTTTGGACATAAGTCTTATTGTTTTGCATCGTAGTCAACCTCAACGAGCTTCAGAGGACTTTATGCGAGTTTTCGTGTGCCTGATAGGAGAATGTTAGGGCTTCAAGTTCGCGGAAACAGAGGCTGAAGCCTCTAATGTTCACTTTGTCATAGTTGGGTAATTCTTTTAAGGGTACTTAAACCCAGTAGGGAACAAAAATTTTAACTGTTAATCCTATCCCAACCATGAACTAGTTCAGATTTTCCTTTTGCAGTGTATCTCTGGGCTTTCTTCTGCGCTACGGACTCGGCATGCTTGAATTGCGACCGCCCGTCGAAAAAAAGTCTATTATATAGATCCCTGCATGTCTCGATATCCATAAACCTTAACCCTATGCTTCCAAGGACCTTATAGTTAGGGCCCTAGACCCCTTAAGGACCCAATACTAAGGTCCCTGGAAGCCTAGGGTTAAGCTCTATCTCAGTCCTGCGGAGCATCCTGAAGCTTAATTGAATCGACGCGCCGACCTTCCTCCAGAGATCCTGAATACAACGAAAGCATCAACACCAAAAGCCACAAACCCCAAAGCCCAAAGGCCCGATACCTGAGGCCTTGCGCCCTGCAAGCGCTCAGCCCCGAAACAGTAGCTGAAACACCAACTTCAAAGAGCCCCCAAGAAAGAAGCCTCTCGACGAGCTCGTCCCGAGGTTTACTGAGCTCGTCGGCTATGCTCAGGTGGCTTCGATCCCATGGCGGGTTTAGGGCTTCAAGGGCTTGTGCCGGCCTCCAAGACCGTCTGCGCATCACGAAGGGATCTTTGTGAAAGGTTTGTAGGCTTTCGGGTTGAGGGGTTAGGAAGCGGCTTGGCAGGATTTGCCTTTTCAGGGTTTTCTTGGGGCTCAAGTTGTCTAGGATTTTGATCCTGGTCTCACATAATTTGTAAAGGATCCTGAAAAGCTTATGGCCAGGATTTAATTCTTGAGAGTCTCAGGCTTCCATTTTGGAGTCCAGGCTCCTACGCCTATGAGTTTAAGGTATGCTTATAGGCTTATAGGCATAAACATGTAGCTTTGGTCTGCACCACCGCCCACCCTAATCTTAAGTGTGGTGGATTTCTTTAATTTCTTGTCTTCAACCAAGTCTGAATGTTGCTATATGCATATGCAAATAAAGAATACATGTGCTTGCATTCTACGGGCGCCAATGCAATCGTTGATATGTTTAGCGGTGCCAGCAGTGTACCCACCACCTTTGATGTAGCGGCAACGGCTGCCACAGCAGGGAGCTTTCGTTTACTTAGTGTATCTAGCGTTTAACTTTTGCCGAAATCCCAACTCCTGTGATTTTATTTGACATGATGAATCTCCTGTGGGTTTTCGTGCGGAGGTATTTCTTCTTCAGGAACTGGAATCCAGACAGGTATTAGGTGGCAGCTTCGTCTTTGATTCTACTGAGACCGTTCTGCTGCAAGGCCTGAAGTTGTAGGTTATGTGCCATATACCGCTTGCTCTGTTCGTGACAGTATCCACTCATCCCCAACGGCTTTGAAGCACGAAACAGATCCCCAAACGACCGCAGACCACAGCGGACAAAGCCTAAGCCGCTTTGGAGGCTGCATCCTTCGACGAGCTCTCGAAGATCACGGCCAAGGGAGCACTGCAAGATGCTTGGACTTGGAAGATCAGTTTCGGCTTCGGGTGCTGAGGAATGTAGTTGAGTTGGGATTGCTGCTTCTTAGAGCTCATGCCGTCTTCGATCGGATTTTTGCGGATACTGATGCTCAGCTCGGCAAGAAGAGCCTGCCACCGCCTACGACTATGTCCCAAGCCCTGATGGGGAGCTGAGCCCGTGCGTTCACAGACATCACCTGGGGGAAAACCCGAGGCTTCAACCCAAAAAGGACGAGCTTCCGGGGCATCTTTCTGTAGCTTTGCGCCGTGGTCACAGAGTCCCTCCCACCTTCGACATCCCAAAAGTTCGAAGGCATACGAACTTGGGATTGGCTTTTCCAAACTCACTCTGGCATTGGAGCTTTGCTTCAATCAATGCGATGGTGGACGGCCCCCTTTGTGTACCTGGCACACGAGCATAGTCGATAGCTGTGTGCCAATACATGACACTCCGTTCCAGGAGTCATCTTCGGGACTTACCTTACGGTCTGGGGTTTAGGGTTACACCGCAGTGAGGCTTTGTAAGCTTGAAGCTCAAGGCATTGACCCCCTGGGTCAGGGTTCAAGAGACACCCACCCTAAAGCCAACACCCTTAAACTCTAAATCCCTGAGCCGTCAAGCAACGAAGAACGACAGACTTAAAAGTTTACTTGTTAAAATTCGAAGCTATAGAAACCCACAGGCACCCAAACCTTAAACCCTAAGCCTTAACCATAGAAACCCAAAGGACTTCCTGACATCTGCGGACTTCTCCCCGAAAGCCAATGCCACGGCTGCCGCTTCGCTCCTCGGGCGCTTGGATGTGCCTTGGATGCGTAAGGCTTCTATAGGGGGGGTTCTAGGATTTAGTATTTCGGATCTTGATTTCAGGGCCCTTGTTTACGGTTTGTTTATCGGGCGTTCAGGGTTAGGACCTCAAGGGCGAGCTGCGTTGAGTGGACGGTTTTGGGCTCCTCCATGAAGCTTAACTACTGCTTGTAAGATGACCACGGCCCTAAATTTGGCAGGTTTTTGTCTTCAGAGTGAGCATTAACTGAATGTGCTGCTGCTGGGAGACTATGTCTAATGGAGTTGAACCGCGTGCGATACAACCCAGTATGGTCCTTCCTGATTACAAATATGCTATGTTACACCCCAAAGCCTTGTTCTGATTATTAAGGCCCCTATATTATACTACCTTATAGATCCCTTATAGTAAACCCTTATAGACCCCTTTAAAGGAACCCTATTCTAACTATGGAGGCCCCTATATTATCCTTTTGCGGCGGAGGCCGTCTAAAGACTTGTGAGCCGCCTTCTGAAGTCTGAGGGCGAGTGTGAACTCACGAAGGCAAGGAGCTGCGCATTCGTTTCTCCATATTCGTGGAGGGTTTAGGGTTTAGTAGGGTTTGGGGTTTAGGGTTGGAGAGGAGGGAGAGAGAGAGAGAGAGAGAGAGGCAAGAGTTGACACGGCATCCCGCAGGTTGTCTACAGCAATCAACCTCAAACCCCAAGCCCTCAAGACCATAAGCCCAAGGTCTTACACCAGACGCTGCAGCGTGCCGGTCGTGGCCGGGACAAGAGTGAAATGCTGAGCCGCCAGGTCTGCGTGTCTTTGTTTCCTTCTTGTATAAGATAAAGATACCTGGATCCCTGATGATGTAGTTTAAGACGTAGGGTTTAGCAGAGGGGAGTTCTTGATTTGACGTTGGGCATTGGAGGGGGGGCGATGTGCACGCTTTGGGTTTCATCCAGACTACGTATTTCAGACGCGAAGCAATACACAGTTGTTACAGGGCTGTCCCCTAAACGCGTAAGAGAGTCTCTCACGCGACACAGTGCACGTGCTGTTATCTTGGGTGATGAGTGTGTTCAATGAAGAAATAAGTGGAGTAGGTCGGGCATTCATGATTACAAGATGCTGTTGCGCACTTGAAGTCACGAAGCGAAGCCCACCATCCCAAACCCCGCCAAGATCCGCCAAGTCTCACTTGCTCAATCCGAGATCTATGATTCTATGATCGATGCCAGGTTGCGCAGACTGTTCGTCATCTCCAGCGCCAGGCAGCTGGGATTGGGGTGATTGCTCGGGGTACGAACGCTTTCCGGGACTTTTTTACAGCGGGCAGGAAGGAAACCTCGAGATGTTGTGCCCCAAGTCTGCAACCTAACGCTGAGACCGAGTTGCGAGAGATTTTTCCACCATACAGACAGGCAAGCTTCCATCTCCGGACGTTGGGCGTCTACCGCCAGGAAAGCTCCTTGCCTTGTCTAGGCCTAGGCCGCAGCGGCTACAGTGTTTCTTAAGGATTGAAAGTGAGGGTGAGGTTATGGTGTAGTTTTGGGTTCGGAGTCAGAAAGCATATCTACAGTGAAATTGTTTTGGCCTCCGAAACTCCATATGTTTTTTTGGAACCTGAAGTCCTGAGAACACTGCGAAGTCTCGAGCATTTCGGTTGAACACATATCACCCAGACATGTTGACAAACAGCAGCGAGCTTGAGACGGAGAGAGTGGATTAGAGACCGCTCAACAGCGTTACTTAGAAAGAACCCAGCCCAATTCAAGCAATCATGATCTTCACACCACTAGAACCAGCAAGCGTTGCGAAGTTCTTGCAACCAAATCCAACAGCAATGACATCAAACACGTGCACAGTACAAGCTGTAACCCCCTGTGCATACCCTACAGCTTTAGTAGCCCAAAGACATGTTACGCGACCTCATGCCCAACACGCTTAAGCCCTACACCCTTTGCCCGTGAGTTTCTTGAAGCGGCGGCCCGTGAATTCCTTCAATCTGGACCCCCAAAAAATCATGAGCAAAAGCAGTTTATATGGGATATCCCTATCCTAAGTTTTGTTTATGTGCTTTTTGGTAGCCCTTTTTGTTGAAGCAACCCAGAGACTCCATTATCCCTTAATTAGGGAATATACCTTAAATCATATTAGGGATCCTACTGTAATTTAAGGAATATTCCTGAATTAAGGGATATTGGAGTCTCTTGGAAGTTGCTTGCTTCGCCGAGGCAACGCCTCGAGCCACGCCGCACGCAGCAAGGCCTCCAAGGCCTCGGCGCGGGAGCGGCACCAGGCAGATCCCGGGGCCTTAATAAGGACCTGTAGGGGACGTTAAGGAGTTCTTATAAAGGGTCGATAAGGGCTACTAAAAAGATAATGTAGGGGCTTAAATAATTAGCTTTGCACTTTTTTTTTTTTTTTGGGGGGGGGGGTCCTTCTTGTAAGTATAGTATACTTAAGCCTAAACCCCGGGCGACAGGAAGACACAGGGGAGTTCTCTAAATTAATTGGAGGTTTTTGGGGGTAGTTCTAAGTGAGGCGATAAGTCCCCTAATATGTGTCATAAGTATAGATACACTACTTATAGTCCAACTTATATATAACTATACCCAAGAACCTCCAAGTAGGGTCCCTGTTTATGAGGGTGCCGTACTATAATTGTGGATCCTAGTTCAGAGAACTAGACTACCCACATAACAGGATGTTTGCAGGATGCTTGAGTACGTGTTGTCGTACATGACAGTAAAATTAGGGTTCCGTGTAGGCGGTTAAGGGCTGTGAGTTGTGGACGCTTCAGGTGTCTTGGGTGTGTTTAGGGCTTACTGTTGAGCATTAAAATGTCAGTAAGTAACTTACTGTTTTTATCCCTGTCATAGCAACTAAAACCACGTTCCGTCTGCAGAACTCGTCCAGCATGCCGGTAGCCATTCATGACGAGGCAACTTGCAGTGTGCAACGCAGCACCATCAGACGTTCAGCAAAGAGCACAACTTTGACCTGAGTTCTGCCTACGAGGCTTTGCTTGGCTCTCGTTTTCCAGCTTATTTCTGCGACATAACTGGATATGTAGTCTGTAAAGACTGTAAGCTTACATGCGTACGTACATATGTACATCTGAACCCGTACCTACACGAATTGTTAGGGCGATTCACATGTTCAGCCCCACGCCCAAGAGGTCCTGATGTCTTTGGACCACATCTGGTGGCAGCTGCGTACGAAGCTGGACTCGCTCCTCGACCGAAAACCAGAGCAGAGGCGAAGACCCCGCAAACATGCATGCACACAAAGGTGCGCAAACACAGACACATGCGCACATGCAGACAGACACAACAGCAAAGAGTCACACATGCACATGCTGAGAGAAAGAGAAAGACAGCTAAAGATAACAAAAGGATGCACGCACACACACACACACACGTACAGAGCGAGAGAGAGCGAGAGACGGCACTCCCTCACGCATGGACACACACACACACACACAAAAACAACAACACGGCGCACCAGCCACACAAGCCCGCATTTGGAGAGGCGTACCCTTGTGCAAGCTTACAAGCACTTGGCCAGACCTTCACAGATGAAAACTCAACCTTTGAGACAAACCCTGATCATCGAGCAGAAGACAAATAGATGGTCAACATACATAATCAGAAACCTAGGTGTATGTGCGTACATGTACATATGCACACATTCAATTAGCAGGATTACACCACGACACATTGCAGCAAAGTGAGGTACGGTACAGTCGGCTGGCATTGGGGAACGTTACATAATATTGCATGCATACATGGAAACTTTCATTCATTCGTGCGTGCAGACATTCGGACACATGCACACACAGATGCATGCATATACACATATTATACACATGCATCTTTATACACGTGTATATGCTGATGTCGTTGGTTGTTGACCTTTTTCTTTCGTACGTTCATAGACATTTTTGTTTGTTTGCTGTGCGCATGGGAGAGAGGATGTGCATACCTACATGTGTATATATGTATGTATGTGTATTCTTCAATGTTTGCTATAGACACAAAAACGGACACACGGCAAGATAATTAGACTAATGTGCATACACACATATGTATGTCATGTATGTGTGTTGTGTGCACTTATGCATATGTACATTGTCAACAACCACATGGGTCATCGTAGATTTATATGCATGTGTGCGTGGGCATGCGTGAGATACACCTGTACAGTAGCCTGTATGTATGCACAGATGCAGGTACCCGCGTATGGGGAATTTGTACGCACAGGCTGACCTCAGTCAATGCACCTGACCACTTGGCGGTATTTCTCCAAAGTTTACATGTTGTGGTCATGTGTTTGTTTGATGTTGCGTGTTTGCCGGTTGCAACCGCGGTGCAGGCAAGCAGCTAGCGGCTAGAGATCAAGCGCTCTAAACACTGAGTTTTCGGAATGAGGTAGAACCCACAACACCTTAAATCCGAATGCCGATGCGACCAAACAGCCTTGAAAGGTATCTTGACGTGGCGGAGGATGAAGTAAAAGCATTCCAGGGTTCTCTCGTGGAGCTGAAGAACTACATGGAGCTCCGGATGCACTTGGGAAAGTTCTTCAAAGTGGGTCTACGTTTTCATAAAGTTTCATTGAGTCTTCTCGGGGACGTCTGGATCATGGGATTTGGAAAACTTTCATGCAGGGGCATTGAGAGCAGAAAAAGCATACCATGGTAGCCAATCACAGTGCAGTTCGCCATTCGAATGAATAGTTAGAGATTCTGCATGGACCAGAGGGACTGACCTTCTGCTCGAAATGCTACATACCTAGGTGGTTGGACGGGATGTCCCAAAGACCAAAACGTGCGCATTTGCGCGGGAGCACGATTTCGGCAGGCGGACATGCACGAGACTGTGGAGGGAACACCACTCGCACCCCGAAACTGCACACGACTGTTTACAGCATGGATGGAGTTGTCTGTCGCCTCGGTCCTCACCATTGCCCTCCTTGCCCTGCCCGGCGAGGTCTACCTAAGCACAAAAGATTTAGTTCGTTGCTTTACATGAGCAGGTTAGTCTCGACTCCGCACGGGAGACAACAGAAACTGACCCCTCCGAGATGCTGCCAGTGGGCAGTAACGTCTGCACGCAAATCCACTGCGAGCCCTGAAGCCCAAAACCGCCACAATGGACTGGCAAGGACTGTCCCGTAAGCCCTAAACGCCAAAACCTAGAAAAATCTCAAGGCTGCCAGTCAGTTGGTTTAAAGCCGACAAGCACATTGACTTCAAGAGCCCCCTCAAAACACACGATCTGGATTCCTGACAAAGCCGAACCGCAAGAAAGAAAGCCCTGGAGCTGCAAACCACAGAGATCTTCCAGAACATCCCGTCACAAATCCTGAGCCCCCTCTTGACCAGATCCCAGAATTGAGCCCCCTTTTGAGAAGATCCCAGAAAGGACTGCAAGAAGGGCTTCTCCGACCTCGCCGCCGGCTACGCCCAAAGCATGTCCGCACTCGGCCGAAGCCACCGCCACCTTCGGGCCACATGGCGCCAAGGCTCTGAGGATTTTTGGGGGATTTTGGCGGGGATTACGGCTTGGGACTTGCGAGAGTCTGCAGAAGGGTTATATAAGATTTGAGGTGAATCAAAGGTTTCAGATATAAGGCACAGACACTATACCGTAAGCTCAGCCTATTCGATGACTTTCGAACGCAACATTCCTAAGATCATGTGTTGGCCGCGTTGCTGAAGTGTTTCTGCGGGGCTTGATTGCTGCATCGTTCGGATCTTTGCAGCTGTTCTGTTGTCTATGCAGGTAGGGTGTTTTCTCAATCCAAATTGATTGTTTGCCTGCGTGGCTTGGGAATGAAGAGGTTTCTTCTTGGTGCCACGGCGAGATTTCGGGGGAAGTTCTACTCTGTGCTTGATGGTACCAATGGAAAGTTTTTCTTCTGTTCTCAACCCCTCGCGGCCGAGAAAAAGTCCATGCCATATGCGACTGTCTCCCGATAATGATGAACTGATTATCAACTACTATCCTGAACCCAAGTACCTGGTAGTTGGGTCCTTCACGCACCCCATGGCAAGCCCCACACTACAGGTCCAAACAAAGACTTGCGCCTACACGGGGCCGCAAGACTCCACAGCCTCCTGCACTCGAGCGCAAAGCTCGAACAAACAGCTCCCGGAAGATCGCGGAGCTTTTACTGTAGGGCCTGTAGGGGCTTAAATACTGACAACTACTCTTTTGAGGTGTGGCTCCTTATTATAACATAGTGGGCCCCAAAACTCTAGTCTAATTATTCAGGCCCCGAAAGTACGTCTTATGCAGCCCGAATGCTGAGTTTCCGAAAATTAGGGGTGCCCTATTTTGAGTGTCCTTATAGTCAATAAGGATCCTACTACGAGGCTACCATATTCGGGCCCCTCTTGTCGGAAACTCCGATTTTGCCCAAGGCAACATGTGAAGTAGGGTTTATATTACCGTTTTGGTGAGTGTAGTTAGGGCTCCTTTTAGGATTAGGTGAGTGTATATATTGGGTTTTATTAGGGGGATACAAATAATAAAATCCATACCCCATGTGAAGTTCAATATCAGGAGTCCATTTCTCGTCCCTGGCAGGCACGAACTTGCTCGGAGAGTTGGCATCCGTCCTCGCCGACACAGAGGCCTGCGAGCAGTGACAACAGAGCACTGGGGTTCTATCAGTAGAATGATGGGTAAGGCCGTAAGGCAGCTAGCTGTAGTTGGAGCATCTTAGAACTCCTGAAATCCAGAATAAGAGCGGGTTTCATAACCGTCACCCGTCATAGACAACGTAACAACCGAATGTTCGGGAAAAGCACCTTTCTTTCTGACACCAGCGGAGCCAAGCCAAACGCCCTTCCGGCTCCCTTCGCTCTCGGCTTTGTCTCACGGCGGTCTTGGGTTCGGAGTTGCGGCTTGGGGTTCGGGGCTTGGCTTACGATCTGAATCCGTAAATGCCGAAAAACCTAGGGGGGAGTCCGAGTGCGAACGCCGAAACTCTAAACAGCTCCAACTCCAGGCGGACGCAATCCTGAAATGCCCTACATGATGTGCGCTGTGGGAAGTATGGTGTATGTATTCAGCTCCTTAGGATGTCCATTAACATAAGGGTGCCAGTACCGTATAAGCCCTATAAACCTGTGAGTTCTTAACCCCTATAATAAACCCCAACCCCCATGATCCCTGACCCTAAACTCTAATGAAACCCCTAAACCCTGTACCCTACTTGGAGGGTCGGGGGACTTAGTAAGTAGGTAGTAAGTAGACTTATAAGTACCCTAAAAGGGACCCTAATTGAGGTTATGGTACTTATAAGTCCCCAAAATAACCAGTTACTAAGTCCCCCGACCCTCCAAGTATAAGCCTTCCAAGCCCCCGACGCCCAGGCCTTCCAAGGCTTCGTCTCCGAAGAAGGCTGCAAGTCTGAGCTCGTAAAGCGCCTCGGCGATCCTCACGCGGCGTTTGCATCATGTCGTGGCCAGCACATGTGATAGGATATTCTGATTATAGATTTTTTGGACTAAACATTTTGGATAGGTGACTCTTACCGGTCATACAGATTACTGCAGTGGACGGTGAAGTTGACAGTTCCTGGGTCGGGAGGGCTACTCCTCAGCGGCATCTTTGCCAAAAGCGCCCATTGGCTTCATTGCTTCATGCTCACTAAACCTAACCTAGGCCGAACCTCTGCAGGCAACCTTCATTTCCAACCTGTGAAGATGAGGAGCTGCATTGATGAGCTTTAGACTCGGGGATGAATGTAACGCTCCACACCGCCCTGACCCCATGAAGACAGAAAATTACTTTCTTGACATAGAAACCAGGGATAGATCAACAGTTTTTTCGGTCGTGTTTCACATCGCCAGTGCTCCGCTGAGTCGCAGGTCCCAGGCTCCGGAAGTGTTCCAACCCCTCTTCGCGGTGAGCAAGGGCAATGGGAAGCTCCGGGATAGCCCTTCCAACTAGTCTCTCTTGCTTCGCTTCCGCAGATCCGAGGCAGACGATACAACAGCTTCAAAGCGGCATCTTCGGCATGGCCTTCCTTCTCCACCGTTTCCTGGTTAAGGATTTTGGGTCTCTAAAGGGCCTGCAGGCTTCATCGGCGTTTGGGTGTCTCCTGGTGAAGAACCACAGGGTCTTGCGAACTGTTCTTTTTGTGCTCGGGGGGAGCAGCAGTAAGAGTTTTACTGTATGTGGGGTTTAAGTTTGCAAGTCTTGGCCGTTTGCGGCTGGTGAGTCTAATCCCAGTCAGTAACAATATGAGTGTTCCCGTTAATCGCTTCACCCCCATCTGTGCCTGAATCAACTCGTACGAGCGAGCCCCAGCCAAGATCCTTCGACCCGGTACCAGTTAGAGCTTGCAGCAGCCAGAAGCCTTATTCCTAAAGCCTGATGCGGGAGGTTTGCTTGATCGTGGGGTGAGGAGTGCTGTTTACAAGAGTGGCTGTGTCCAGGAGGCGCTCAGTCTGACGACTGCGCTCAGTGCGCACATACACATACCTCGAAGCTCGCTCTTCGAGCTTTGCAGAGTCGTAGGGTTTACCGAAGGCGAAGTGCTCGCGGTTGCCCGCACGAGCAGCTTGACCCACTTCAACACCAAATCCCCAAGCTCAAACTCTTAAACTCTACTCTTCAGTTCAAAGAGATGCAGCACCTGCTCAAAATGTAATATAGGGGTCTGAAAAATTACGTATACTATTTTGGTGGCTCCTTATTATCATTACGTCATAATATACCCTCAAACCCTATTCTAATAATTAAGGCCCCTATATTATAGACCCCTACTATAGATCCCCTATAGACCCCTTTAAAATATAGATCCCTTATGGTAGCCCCTGTAAAGGAAACCTATTCTAATCATTAAGGCCCCTAGAATATGGCTGCGGGCTCTCGTGCCGCGGGTCAGACACCTGTGAGGCCCGCTGCAATCTCGGAGAGCGGAGTGCAACTGGTGGTTTCCGAACAAACAAGGGGTACCTTATTTTGGGGGTGCTCATTTTTCGGGGTCCTACTATTTAGGGTGCTATATTAGGGTCCCCTATTTTCGGAAACTCCCAACTCCTTGTAATATGCACATAAGCTTCCACTTAAGGACTACATGAAAGCTTTCGAAGCAGTTTTCAGCAGAACTGAGCTGACGTTTCGGATAGTCAGCCGAAATTTTTGCTTCCGAGAACACAGCAACTCCTAACACAGAGGCCTAATGATTGCCAACGTTAGTTTTGGGGGCTCCGTATAATAATTGTAGGATAATGGCCCCAAAGCCTTATATATTCTAATCATGATGATCCATCAAATATAGACCCCTACTATAGATCCCTTTAGAATTCCACTATACCCCTTATAGTGACCCTTATAAAACCCTTTTACAGGAACCTTTTCAAAGGAAATAGTCTATAGTATGCCCCCTGCCTGGACCCCTACTATAGATCCCTTTAAAGGAACCCCTTAAAGGAACCCTATTCTGATAATTACACCCCTGGACCCCAGGTTTCCGCGCCGCCAAGCTGCCGGATCCCGACACCTCGGGGCGACCTGGAGTTGAATTAACTAGGTTGCAATTTGGGAAACTTTTAATTTCCCTTATGGTTTCTAAAGAGGTACCCATTCATAAATACTTTTCAGAGCCCCAAAACTACAACCCAGTTAAGGAGATGGGAGTTTCCGAATATTACGGGTACCTTAGGCCTTAGGGTTCATTTAAAGGGATCCTTTAAGGGTTCCTATAAGAATCTCACGGGGGGGGGGGGTTTTGGGTAGTTTAGGGTTTGGGGTCTTTTGGGGTTTGGGGTCTTTTTAGGGTTTGGGGTCTTTTTAGGGTTTGGGATCTTTTAGGGTTTGGGGTCTTTTAGGGTTCAGGGTCTTTTTAGGGTTTGGGGTCTTTTAGGGTTTAGGGTCTTTTAGGGTTTAGGGTCTTTTTAGGGTTTAGGGTACTTTAGGGTTTAGGGTCTTTTAGGGTTTTGGGTATTTTGGGGTTTAGGGTGTCGGGGTTTGGACTGGGACACGATAGAGTTTCTGAGAAGGTGTCAGTGTGGCATACTCGTTGCATCGATTGTTGAGAGAGTGCGCGGCTTTGCCAAACAGCTCCGCGCAGGAAAAGGGCTTTTAACAGTTTGTAGATTTCGGATTGAAGCTGAGTTCATGTAAAGACCATTAGAGGCCGACGAAGGTGGAACTTCCTTCCCTCCCACATTCTCGGAGCAGCTGGCACGGGTGGGGTGGAAATGTCGCAGTGCGAGGCCCGAATTTGGAAGCGCCGTCTTTCTACTCTAAATAGTAGGATCCGTATTATAAGGACCCCCAAATAAGGTACCCTTATATAGTACCCTAAATAGTAGGGTCCCGATCAACAGAGGCCCCTTTAAGGAGTTTGAGATCCTCCCGTACGATTAGGTTTCGTGCCCCCGATGCTTAGGCGTTAGGTTTTCGCTTGGAGCTTCCGTTCCAATCCAGTAGCCCAAAGCCTCAAGCTTCGCTGCAAGAATTTGAAATCCAAGATGGCCGTAGTGCGGGTTAGCAGTGATCACCGACACTTCGCTTCCCTGTGGATCTTGTTGATGTTTTTAACCTCGCCATGGTCTACTGTCAGAACCAACCAGACACAAGGACTTCCCGTGCAAGTGCAAATCCCCAAGCCCAAGCCCCACATCAGTCTCAGAAGTATTCTCGCCTGCATCAAGACTTGCATTGCAGATGCCTTCGAATCTACCCTGCAGCTAGGCCGAAGGAAACGACAAGCTGCTCGCACCGTAAACCTGCCAAGCCCTAAGCCCAAAACCCGAAACATCCGCAACCCCGACCCTGTGTAGACTTAAACCCCCATATCCATCATACGCCGAAAGCCCGAAAGCTGCAAAGTGCTGGCCGAGGCTCAAGCAGGCCACGAAGCGCATTCAGCAGGCCGGCAACCGGAAATTTCAGAATTTAGGGTTTAGGGTTTAGGGTCTACGGTAATTGAAGCATCGTTTCTTCTTCTGACACTGCCAGATGCCTGCCACCGACAGATACTTCTCGTTATTTGCTCATCCACCGTGTGGCACAGGGTTCTCGTTCATTTCGGTGACCTTGGATTACACGTTGTACGGAGTCGTTCCGTCCTACCTTACTCACTGATGACTCCGAAGCACCAGCCTCCAAATCCAGCTAACAATCTCAGATGAACTCACCCTGCGAGGCATACGCGGCCGCGACGGCCAAGTGCCACTGAGACGCCGTGCGCCGCCTTTCATAACTCCTTTAGGCATTTTAGGCAGTCGCCGGAGCAGAGCCCGCCAAAAAGCGAAGAGTCGGAGTCGCGGCATTCTCCCAGCTCTCCCATTTTTGAGTACCTCCTGCTGAAGGCGAAGCTTTTCGAGGTGAGAAGGCCTAATCCGGAGGCTTCCTCCAGAGTCTCCGCCTTGTCTTGAGTTGAACCCAGCACCAATAGTTCGTTGCAAACTGAGCAGTAACTCAGTAAGTGTTGCCGACAGGCCTTGCTTTCTGCTTGCTCCGTAGACCCCTGTCCAAACTCCACAACGAACACGCAGCCAAAATGCAGTCGTGGAATAAACCCCACACGTGCTTTCGCGAAGCTTTACACCTCTAGCCCAAGAAGCCTTGAGCCAGCTTATAGGAAACTCCAGAAAGTTGGAATATGGTTTCATGGTAGGATACCCTA